CCGAAATTCTTCGAGGCAGCAGTGAGAAGCAGTTTGAATAACATTTGGCCGCGACGATTCGAGGAACTTGTTAATAAATTGTTCAATTATGTTATCCCGGGTTAAACTTACAAATGCACACACTGTTCGCGGTAGGCCCACACTAAAAAATAACACTGAGTGTTTTCGGAATGGGCTAGTCCGTGAACTCAAAGAAAAACAAAGGAAATTATCAAGACATTCAATGACATCAGACTCATGGACCCCATAGACCCTTTTTTGGGACCCTGACAAGTGTGTTAGCTCATTTCAGGATGCCCTAGCCTAGTTAAAAGACTTTATAAGGTAGATGAATAAACAGAAAGTTACTAAGTTGGGATTGCGAAAATTACTTTTTCCCTAAAGAGATTAAGATGGGGTCTATAATATGGCCACACTGAATAGACTGTAACAGGGTAGAGATTCTGAGAGGCCAGCGGCAGCGGCACATACCCAGAAAAAATTAACTTAAGTTACCCCCTTCCCCCGCCCCGGGTAATCCTTTAAGCCCTAGGAATGATCAGCACAAAATTTCTCCTTGTAATGTCAATTATCTATTAACTGGGTGGTCAGGAGAATTGAGAACTTGATCAGAAAGGATGAATCTAATTTTAATTAGTCATTTAAAATACTTTCAAAAATTTCCGTACTCAAATGAGGATTGAATTTTTTCTCGATATTAGGTTTTTTTAAGATTATAAAGGGATGTTTAAACTGTGAGTACAGATATTTGCATGGACAAATGTGAAAAGATGGTTGTTTACCATTTACTGGAAAATGTGGTCGGAAAGTAAATGGAACCTGACGAGTCTGCAGGTCGTTTCAGTAGGAAGTTTCCAGGAGCAACGGAACCTCTGAAAACTAAACTAGTCCTGTTTTCCCGTTCGAAATGTTCTTAACGGAAATTCGTGTTCCATTTCTTCAAAGCCACTGTTTTTGATACCAGTTTCAGGTTTTCGCTGCTGTATTTTTGTTAATGGAACTGATTTGTGCAAATGCATGAAATGGTAAACGCGATTCCGGGACGAAATTTACCAATCCTGAGTGTCGTCACCATTTGCATTTACATGTACTTTACTTAGAGATTTAGCCCACTGCTACCTGTACACCTTTTAAGGTGATTCCTTAGTAAAAGAACCTAACATAGATTGTATATGAAACTTGGTACAATGATGAAACAAGTCAAGGAGATGACAAAAAAGTAATAAAAAGTGGGGGTCACCGCGCTTGTTTTGACGTCACAAGGCGGACAAATACGGCTATTTAGGACTCTTTGACAAAAACCGCGCGCAGCCCAAAACTCGACAAAAAGGAAAGATTTTTTCCATGATGCATGTGGTATCGCACAGGGCCCAGTTCCTGAAAGGTCGATTAGGGCTAATCCAGGATTAAAATTTTGTTCCGTTTTTGTAATTTACCTTCCTACGTATTGCTTCGAGTAATCTTTTGTGTTGTCATTGCTGTATCTCGGGGTAAAGGCTCAACAGTATATTTTTAGCTCGAGTCGCATGTCCTTAGACAAGAAAACCTTGCTTAAAACTAGGCTTAATCCTGGGTTAAACTTAACCATCTTTCGAGGAACCGGGCCCAGAATTAGACTTTAATGTATTCTTTATCCACTGACGTACCAGAAAAATGCCTTTTAGTGCCTTTGTTTTTACTTTACGCTCCAAAGTAGAATTAAGTTGGACACGCGCTATTCGACCCGTGATAGCTCAATCCATACAATTTAGCAAAACTGCCAAAAAACTGAACATAGATTTGTGCCAATTTTTTTCTCATCGAGAGGAAGCACTGTCCTCATTAAAATCATGAAATAAAAAATGGGGGTCACCGTAATCGTTTTTGCGGTAGAGCTGCAGAAAGTGCGCACCAAATGCATTTTCTCGGATTTTTGAGAGAGGACTGGGGCGAGTTTCAAAATAGAATGTATGTGAAAGGGGGAGGAAAGTATTAAAAAATAAGTTTTTCAGAATTTACATCGAGATATCTCATTCAGGACACAATGTGATAAAGAAAGCGTTTAAATGAAAATCAAAGTGAGTAAGCACAAGTTAAACATCCACTACGGAGGTTCTCCAAGAGGAAGTCGAACTCAGCAACACGCGTACTGCTTACGTTATGCACATTTCAAACACACCGAGTCTCACCTCGGCAAGAAACAACCGCAAGCAAAAATTCCAATAGCGTTTCTCTTCAGTGAACTTCATTTTAATAATGTTACTTCACATGCTCTTTTTTAAGACGGCCATCTTGTTATGCGCAGCAAGAGATGCGCAGCGCAAAACCAGGGAATCACCTGAAATGGCTAAATAACATGTCGATCCTAGTTTACCTGGTATACATGATACAGTTGACTCCCGATAACTCGAACCTCGCGTTAACTCGAACCACTACTGTAATTTTACCCTCCTGAACTCGAACCTTCCGCTTACTCGAACATAATTTTACCCTCGACAACTCGAACCATGTTTTAAGCGCGTGACAAGTCGGGAAAAAAAACAGTCTACTGAAGTCCGAAACAATGAACTTATTTATAAACAACAGTGTCATCAAAGTGATAGATGTATATGAATTAAATCATATAAGCAAATGACAGGAAAGTGTTAAGTGTTATTAAAAGTCTTTGTCTTTACTTCTCTGTCACTCCAGTTCAATTTTCGTGTCCATACCTGTATATTAATTAAGCAATATTTGTTGCTTATTATTTTTTTTTCAAAATATCAATCTTTATCCCTTCCTGTCCTTGAAGCGAAGTGTGCATGAAACTTACATTTCCTCCCCATCCATTTGCTCATTTCCTTATCTGCTGTCATTTCTCCAACTTTTTTCAATTTCCCAAGAAGGTTCGAGTTATCGATCGGAAGTCGAATGTTATATTACATCCTGTCTTGATTGCCTGTCTTGATTGTTGTTTCATTTTGGGCTTTACACCATTCTTGGTCTCCTTTCGTTTTGTTTAATTTCACGGGCATTTTTTTATACTTAATTTATTTACTTGTCAAACAGTCTGTTAAAAATGAACTTGAGAAATCAATGGTCTTTACTAAAATCAGCTAACGGGATAATAAACCAAATATTTAAGACGTTTATTATTCATTCAAAATATTTCCCTATTCTGATTGGCTAAAAGCACACGCATAATTCACCATAACCAGTTACTCATGACCAAATTTGGAAGAATTCTGTGTTTAACGAGGAAATGACGTAAAAAATGCAGCGTTCTTGCAGGTCACAGTTAATGAACCGTTAACGGAGAAGGCCTGGGGACGGGGTTGAGTTGTTTTGGTTGTGTAAACAAAAAATGGCGGACATTTCACTCGTTCCAAGAGTAAGAACTAGGCGAAATTATAGCTAAAAACATAACAAGAACACAACTCGAAGGGCGACATCTGCTATCTGGAGAACATTTGCGGAGCTGAACAACCCTAAACGTACAAACGTGCACTATCGAAGGTGAACTTAACATCGATGGAGGTAAACATGTTTTAGCTGTGCTTTTAAGCTAGGAATTATTTTGAATGAATAATAAAACAATTATTGAATTAAGGCCTAAGGCCTAGACTCGACGGATAACACCCTCCTCGATCTCCACAATTCTTCATAAGATACTCATTTCCGGGCCTTAACTCTTCTAATAGCTTAATTTCAATCAGGTTATGTTCCAAAAAACGCGAATCAGGTTTCCCTTTCTTTAGCTTTTCTCTAAGCTCTCTTTTGCATAGTACAGACAGCTCTGATTCAAGTTTTATGAAAAAAATAGATATATACTACTTCAGTCGGCCTCATTCAGCCGTCGAGCCGCCTAGTACGTACCCAGAAATTTCCCTGCATGATGCATATGTGTAAAAATCTCTAATTTTCAGATGTCGTATACAGTCATTGACCTAGATTTTTTCCTCTTAAGGGCACGAACAAAGCAGGGAGCCAGTTAAAGGGGGAAATCTTGCTCAAAGTTTAATTGAGCAAGCTGGCACTATAGACCTTGGTTCGCTTAGCCTTATTGGGAGGGGCGGAAAAGAGTCCCTTCAGCTCGCCCCTCCCAGTTTTAAAGGGAAAAGCCCGAAAGACAAACTTTGCAAGATTCGTGATTCGTGATGCGAGCCATCTACCGGAACCGACACTAAAATACGCAGCTCGCCAGCCACGCGACTGCTAATATAAGCTCAGACTTTTTAGACTTTTAATGTCATGTACCTGGTCGCTTTTGCTATGGAAATGAGAGAGAAAGCAAATACTGTAAAAGCAAAAAAAAAAACAACAAGGAAAGAGTCTGTCTGGGTAAAAGCGTATTTAAACCGTAGAGATCAAAGGATAATCGTAAGAAAACAACTCTTTTGCACAGATCGTTTATCAAACTAATCTTTGTGACGTAAAACTAAAATGGTTCCTCAGCCCTTCCTCAGTACACACTTTTTTAATGCTTTACCATAAAAGCCAACCGTGTTTTTATTTAAAAAATGCAACATGCGTGCAAAAAAAAGGTAAAACGCAATATTGACAAATTTTAGAAGAATTCATGGACGCAATAGTCGCGTTGTGTGTTGAACTTTTATAACGAAACTTGAGATCTGAAGATCAAAGCACGTCAGACATGAGCTGACGGTAGGAACACGTATCAAAAATCTTCCGCGCTGAAAAGAACTAAAACATACTGAATATGCAAAGAACGATGGCATTCGGTATGATACAACAATAGGCAGAATAACGTTTGCTCAAGGCTCCCAAGAATGTACCCTACGTAACTGTTACCAAGTTCGGAGATCACTTACGCCGTGCACTTAAACATACAGAATATGCAAAGAGCGATGGCATTCGGTTAATGATACAACAATAAGCAGAGTAACGTTTGCTCAAGCACTCTCAAGAATATATCCTACGTAATGTTACTAAGTTCGGTGACCACTTACGCCGTGCACTTAGTATAAAAGTATACAGTACGTTTGTGGAAAATTTTAAACAAACAATTTATCCTCTCAACGCTAAAAAGATTTACGACCAGTGACTTGTTCGATCGCAGTTTGGCCAGTATCGCCGGTATCTTTGAAAATTAGTTCCGCTAAATCAACGGCTCCCAAGATCATTTACGACGAAACGTTCGGTACTTTGCATCACGAAGAATCTACAGGGTCTTGCTGTGTCAGAAGAACACCATGACGAATTTGTAAAGAATGATGCATTTCATCATCACACTGCTTAACTGATTAAATGCAAAGGACTTGGATATTGCTCAGGCACGGAACCTTTTAGCTTAAAGTCATTTCCTTTCGTGTTTCCTTTTTCCTGGGCTATATCCGTCTTTATAAAATTTGCTTGTGACGTAGTAACTGATAACTTATCTTCTATTCAGCATCTTTCGTTTATTTTTGTTTCCAGCGGGAAATTTATTTAGAGAATAACGTCATATTGACGAAGTTATGTCAGCAGCAACTTGACTCTATAAATTAAGGGATTTGCGTTCGTAAGATAACCAGAGCAATTTGCCTTTTACACAGTAAAGAGAGAAAAAAATGGTACCTACTTTATTAGTTTCGAATTTGGGAGTACCCTCACTTTGTGTACTCGTAATAGCGCTACTTTTGGTCGTAGCTCTCAAAGTTTTCCCCAAGAAAGTTAGAGAGAAAGATGATTTGATCATACACCAGTCGGACGGGGAAGAAAAAACATCGAGACGTCTCGGTATGTTGGAACAGGTGTTTCTGGAAAGAGAGAAGATCAACAACTGGGGAACTGTTTCTTCTGTCTTGCTGTTGGAATCTACGCAAGAGCTAAGGCAAGATGAACTCAGAAAAGCTCTTGTTCTTCTGGCCAAGCGGTATCCTTTGCTACGTATGAGTATACAAGAAACCACCGATGGAGTCCACTTTGAAGAAATGGAAAACCCTACTACAATTGACTTTGAACTGTTAAACCACGTAACAGCCGATGACTGGGTACAAGGCTTCGAAGCAGAACTAAACGGTTATCAGTTTAACATCACTAGAGGGCCTTTGTGGCGCGCAAGACTACTGAAAGAAACTTTCAGCGAAGGAAAATTCACAAACGCGGTTGTGTTTACGTTTCAGCACGTCATCTGCGATGCGCTGTCCATCTTTGAGTTCCAAAAAACGCTGTTGGAATTCCTGGCTTCTCTTCATGGTGGGGTAGAGTTTAAAGTTGAGAGTCTTCCTCTAAAGCCTCCTTTGGAGTCACTTATGCCCAAACTAGTTCAACCTAGCATAGCGGAGAGGGCGTTGCTTTCGAGTTTCTTCTCACTCCAGCGGGCCAAAGCGTTTTTTGTCAAACCAAAAAATCTGTTTCTATCAGTTTATCCTCCAGTGTCCAACGCAGACCCAATTGTGACCAAGAAAACTTGTCTCCTGGCTCGTAGCCTCTCTGAAGAAGAAACCAAGCTACTGAAGAAAAGCTGCAAGGAAAACAAATGCACGGTACACGGCGCAATCACTGCCTCCACGTATCTCGCGACTGCGCGAATTCTACACCGAGAGAAACACGACTTAAAATTTCCACTGGCCCTGGAATCATCTTATTCTGCCAGTGTACGAAACCATTGCGAGCCAAAGCTAAGCAGGGATGACTTTGGTGCCTATGTCAGCGCGAGCAGCTTAAAACTTCCAGTACCTCTAGTGCAGCCCTATGACAAGCAAGGCTTCTGGGAGTTTGCCCGTGCGTGTACTCGCGAGGTCCACGCACAGATAGATTCTAAAAAGTACCTCAATCTTTTGAAGTTTTACCACTGTATAGACATTCCCAAATACTGCGCTATGTCTAACTACGAACACAACCAAGGGCGCCGAAGCCACATTTTTAACATTAACAATTACGGAGCTCAGCAGACAAATCAGAGTGATGCAGGTCCGTTTAAATTTGCTGGTTTATTCTTTGGCGTTCAAGGAGCGAATACTGGCCCAACATTTGGTAATAATATCATAACTGTGGATGGTCGACTTTACTGGACCGTGGAGTATTTTCCGCACGTAACCTCGAAGACGCAAACAGAGGATTTCTTTGAATTGTCCTTACAAACATTAAGACAAGTTTATACGTAAATGATTTTTTCTACAAGTATGTTATCCTCGTCATTGTTAAACGAGTTATTTATTCATCGAATTAAAGAATTTTTATTCGCACAGTTTACGTCCAAACTTGACGACTTGTGCATGTATTTACTTTTTACAAATTAAATAAAACAGCTTTAATCCGATCCGCATTGTCACCATTATTAGAGAACGTAATTATCCGTTATTTATAACTACAAAGTTTAAAAATTAACATTTCCTTCCGATTTTAGAAAAGAATGAAAAAAAGAAATAGATTTAACAGAATATTCTTTATTTATAGTCTCTAATTTATCAAAGCACAGGAAATTGACTCATATTTCAATGTAAATTAACTCTCTGACTAATCCGTACCTATAAAAATACTTCAAAGCTAAATAAAACACTTTTCTAAAGAATGATAAGAGAGTTTCCCTTGCCTTTGAATCTTATCAGTTGGCTGAAGCTCTTACGAGTACTTTTGAAGTTACAGTCGACTCCCGATATCTCGAACCTTCAAGGGAAATCGAAAAAGGTTTCGAGTTATCGGGAGTTCCAGTTATCCGGAGCTCGAAGAAAATAGCCGGGAGTAAGGAAAAAAACAGTTTTTACTGCATAGTGAACATTTTCATCACATTTAATTGTAGAAATGTCAAGTGAAAATTAAAAGATACTTCCAGATTATAAATCAGAACGTAACGTAACAAAACATTGCCTAAATAGAGCATGGGTTTTACTGTTTTGAGAAGTAAAGCTGTTTCACATTAGATTTGTGACACAGATTATCAGCCTCCAATAGTTAGCCTGCGAAAACATCCGTTTCTCCTCGCTCTTTGCCGTTGGAGACGTTTCGCGCGGAGGAACGTCTGCGACTCAGCGGCAGAAATTCCATACTGATGATGCAAATCACTGTTTACATAATAAATCTGCAAGTCATGGGGTTCCCAATATGTGTTATGTTGTGTTATGACTAGGAATAAATTTTACTATAAAGTCGAGACTCTGATTCCAAATATTACCCTGTTACCTATAAACAGTTTGATCAATGAACTGATGAACTCTTTTAATTACTTTATCAATATACAATTCATAAAATATATTTCAGCTTGTTTTGATGTTCGTGACAAATTATTATTAGCCTGAGTATCAGGCCTTCCTATGGGGGAGGGGGGAGGGGGAGAAGAGAAAGGAAGGTTCTCGCCTTCACCTCTCTCCCTTTTTCGCTTCCATCTTTCCCCTTTTCCCCAGAAACACCTGATACTCGGGCTAAATTATTATCAAAGTAACGTAATTGCCCTGTGTTGTAATTTTGATTCCTAAACATAGCTTTTGCAATATTGTATGTGTTTGTATGGTCATGCGAATAAAGCTCGTTGTTGTTGTTGTGGTTGCTGTGTTCATCTGCCAACGAGCTCCCGCAAAACTCAAATGCTTCTTCTACAGAACACTATATTCCACAAATATAGACTGTTTTGTTAGAGATTCTTTGCGTTTAGATTTGATGTTTTGTCTTTTGTTTGTCATTCGTAAACAATAACTAAAACAACGTAACTACTCCGCCGACCAAACAGCGCTTCTGACCGGTTTCCGGACAGAGTTTACGTCATCAGTACGGTATTTCTCAGTGCTGAGTCGCAGACGTTCCTCCGCGCGAAACGTCCCCAGCGGCGAAGAGCGAGGAGAAACGGATGTTTTCGCAGGCTACCAATAGTAAACTATATGCCTACAACACGTCAATGGGAAATTCAAAATTCAATGTTTGGAACGCCAGTAGACTGTTTTTTCCCGACTTTGAAGAGGAAATAGAAATGATCCGAGGGAAACAAAAACTACTTCCAGTTAGCGGGAAGTTCGAGTTATCGAGGGTTCGAGTTACACAGGGTAAAATTACAGTAAATGTATGACGGAAATCCAGGGGAAATCGATTTTGGTTCGAGTTAGCGAGGGTTCGAGTTATCGGGAGTCAACTGTATAAAAGACTTTCTTGCGAAACAGTGAAAACGAAATAGATTTAACAGAATGTTCTTTATTTATAGTATCTAATAGGTCAAAGCAAAGGATATTGACTCATATTTCAACGTAAATAAACTCTCCCTTATTTTTAAACTACTTCAAAGCTAAATAAAACACTTTTCAAAAGAATGATAAGTGATTTTCCCTTGCTTTTGAATCTTATCAGTTGGCTGAAGCTCTTACGAGTACTTTTGAAGTTACAGTCGACTCCCAATAACTCGAACCTTCAAAGGAAATCGAAAAAGGTTCGAGTTATCGGGAGTTCGAGTTAACCGGAGCTCGAAGAAAATAGCCGGGAGTAAGGAAAAAAACAGTTTTTACTGCATAGTAAACATTTTAATCACATTTAATTGTAGAAATGTCAAGTGAAAATTAAAAGATACTTCCAGATTATAAATCAGAACGTAACGTAACAAAACATTGCCTAAATACAGTGGAACCCCGCCTTACGACCACCCCGTTTATAAGACCACCTCGTTATTACGGCCATGTTCTTTCAAACCAAACGTAAAAACCATAGAGTCATTTTATTATTTTGACGACCCCGTTAATGCGACCACCTCGTTATTACGACCAGGATTTTATGGCCCAACGGTGGTCGCATTGACGGGGTTCCACTGTAGAGCATGCGTTTTACTGTTTTGAGAAGTAAAGCTGTTTCACATTAGATTTGTGACACAGATTATCAGCCTCCAATAGTTAGCCTGCGAAAACATCCGTTTCTCCTCGCTATTTGCCGTTGGAGACGTTTCGCGCGGAGGAACGTGTGCGACTCAGCGACAGAAATTCCATACTGATGATGCAAATCACTGTTTACAGAATAAATCTGCAAGTCATGGGGTTCCCAATATAACTTTGTTTAATTTTACGTGTCTTGTGGTCGATTTTGGAAAAGTGTTGTGTTATGACTAGGAATAAATTTTACTATAACGTCGAGACTCTGATTCCAAATATTACCCTGTTACCTATAAACAGTTTGATCAATGAACTGATGAACTCTTTTAATTACTCTATCAATATACAATTCATAAAATATATTTCAGCTTGTTTTGATGTTCGTGACAAATTATTATTAGCCTGAGTATCAGGCCTTCCTATGGGGGAGGGGGGAGGGGGAGAAGAGAAAGGAAGGTTCTCGCCTTCACCTCTCTCCCTTTTTCGCTTCCATCTTTCCCCTTTTCCCCAGAAACACCTGATACTCGGGCTAAATTATTATCAAAGTAACGTAATTGCCCTGTGTTGTAATTTTGATTCCTAAACATAGCTTTTGCAATACTGTATGTGTTTGTATGGTCATTCGAATAAAGCTCGTTGTTGTTGTTGTGGTTGCTGTGTTCATCTGCCAACGAGCTCCCGCAAAACTCAAATGCTTCTTCTACAGAACACTATATTCCACAAATATAGACTGTTTTGTTAGAGATTCTTTGCGTTTAGATTTGATGTTTTGTCTTTTGTTTGTCATTCGTAAACAATAACTAAAACAACGTAACTACTGCGCCGACCAAACAGCGCTTCTGACCGGTTTCCGGACAGAGTTTACGTCATCAGTATGGAATTTCTGTCGCTGAGTCGCAGACGTTCCTCCGCGCGAAACGTCCCCAGCGGCGAAGAGCGAGGAGAAACGGATGTTTTCGTAGGCTACCAATAGTAAACTATATGCCTACAACACGTCAATGGGAAATTCAAAATTCAATGTTTGGAACGCCAGTAGACTGTTTTTTCCCGACTTTGAAGAGGAAATAGAAATGATCCGAGGGAAACAAAAACTACTTCCAGTTAGCGGGAAGTTCGAGTTATCGAGGGTTCAAGTTACACAGGGTAAAATTACAGTAAATGTATGACGGAAATCCAGGGGAAATCGATTTTGGTTCGAGTTATCGGGAGTCAACTGTATGAAAGACTTTCTTGCGAAACAGTGAAGTTTACTTCGAGGAAAACAATGTTAAGGAAAACTATTCTTTAAAACGCTTAAGAAGGACGCTAGGCTTATTGATAATTGACGTAGCTACCTCGTAAAAGAATCTTTGACGTCAAATTTAAGTCAAGTTATTTTTTGAAAAACAGATGCGCTGGTGATATTGCACGCCTAGTGCAAAATATTTTTGGTTGATAAGAAATAAACATTATTCCTACCACTCAATAAATAAGCAATATTGACCAAGTGGGAGATCAAGATGGCTGAACATTGACTCAAGTCCTTTTTTAAAGGAAGCACGGTCCATGAGAACAAAAACCGCAGAGAATAAGAAGAAAGAAGCCAATATTCAGCCACTTGACCAAAAAAGCTTGCTATTATTATTTTTTTATATATATGGCTAAAATAAAATGTTTTCCGGCTGGAAATCCCGATCGGGCAGTTAAACCTATTTTGCCTTACCCGCGGCTGCCACATAATAATGTTTGCTAATAAAAACTGAATCATTGGATAATGCAATTCTAGAGCTCTGATTGGCTTAGCCATCATGGTATATGAGACATTATACCATGCTCTCCAAATATAGTAACTGTACGCGTCTGCTCAAAATTAAAAACAAGCTGAAAATCGGTTGTTTTTACAAATAGAGTCGGGAAAAATTGTCGATACTTTCTGGGCGTTTTTAATAAAACAATTATTCCACCGCGCTTGTTGGATATGAGATGATCATGGCCGACTCGGCACTACGCGCCTCGTTGGCTATCTAGCATCTCATATCCAACGCGCACTCGCGGAATAATTGTTTATTAATGAATGATGAAATCAGATTTCATTAACAAGCACTGCACACAATCAATATAAAATAATATCAGCTTTTCCTTCTCATCAAGGTAGGAGCTGGCGTGAGTGATAGCTTTACATGATCTTGCTCGATATCCGCCGTTAAATCACGCAAGGCTAATAACTAGGAGAGCATAGATAATTCACGGTTAGCCGCAGAGCAAGCTCTTCATTCGGGGATATCGTGAAAAGTACACGCGCGAGAGGCACGCGAGAGGAGACGCGCCGGCTCCTCGCGCCCTCGCCGCTCGCTCGCGCGTTCTCGCGCGGCTCGCTTCGCTCGCCCAAATAGGAGAGCTTGCTCGCAGGCCAACTCACGATATTCCATGTACAGGCTTCACTCTTGATACTCGTGTCTCCTTTCGCGTGCCACTCGCGCATGACCTCTCACGATAGCCCCAAAATGCAGGGCTTACTCCCAGGCTAGATATAAAGTGCGATGTCTGATTCTTATTGGTCACTCCTCACACTTTCATGGGCAACAACTCTGGCTTAGAGACCACAGAGTCACGCAAAACTTTCAAGGCTTCTCGTTGCTTCATTGTGGCACTGGGTTGCCTTCCTTTATCAAAACTGCGTTGCGTAATAGAGTGACAGGATATAAAATGTCGTAGGGCTTGCTACTTGGCATCCTACTCGCTCAGAGAAAGTATTAATCACTAAATCCAGCGCTTCGCAGAACTCAGGACGTAAAGCGCCACCGTTCCCACGGAAGCCGTAAGCGTCCATACCGCTAGTTTCATGTAAGGGTTCGATTGACTTGGAGACTGGATGCCCGCTGGAACATCGTTTGAGTATTGAGCGAGTTGTTTCCTTCGCTGTCGTAAAACAGAATCCGGTCTCTGATCCTCCAACTCTCTGATGAACTGCCTGTGTTTGGCCAGGGCCATGCTGAAATACAAACAAATGTACGTTTAATTGTAGAGAGTCGCGTGAACGCCGGTTGGTAATCGTGCCCGAGCTTAACACGGACTATGTAGCATTGGGCAACTAGGAGCTGCTCTCTTCTAAGCCTGAGTGGCCGGCGCAAAAAAAGGAAGGGGAGAGAGGGGGTGCAAAACCCGAAAGGGAAAAGGGGAGAAGGAGTCTCATTTCCTCTCCCCCCATCCCCTCCCCCAAACCGCTTTTTCGCACGCAGGCTACTCTCTTGACAGTTTGCCAATTAGCCTTAGGGTTAGCCCCCAAGCCCCGAATTTTCGTCACCGGTTCCCTGTTTAAAATGGCTCCTGTAAGGAAACAACGCAGCGACAATGTATCAATTTCTACAAATGGTTTGAGGAACACAAAGGAAAGCAAAGGGGTTTTATCTTAGAAAACAACTGTAACAATGCATCCATTCATAAACCTACAACTACAGTACAAGCCTGCGTATCAAGCGTTTTTTAAGAAGTGGGATGACACCCTTTCCTTTGGGTTTACTCAGGTCCAACTATCGTTCTCAGTTCTGAGTACAAGCAGAAACGGGTGCTACACTGGCTATTTACCTGCAATCGGCGACAAAATTAGCCAGCACTTATCCCTCAAGGACATTCCTCGAAATCTGCCGAAACTATTTACTTCAAAAAGTGGAAATGAAGCCTAAACTCTCCTCACCCTCTACGCAATGTTGTGCCGCTGTTTAAGCTATATGTAGAAAACTACAAATATCACCCAGGCAACTTTGAACGATCTTGAGTGGAGTGGGCAGGAGGAGGTGTAAATTTTTTGTTCCCCGAAAGATAACGTAAAATTCCGAAAATAAGCCCCGGGGCTTATATTTTTCAAAGGCCCTTTTTGAGGGGCTTATTTTTGGAGGGGCTTATATTCGGAGGGGCTTATGTACGGAGGGAAATTCGCGTTTCAAAATCGATTGGGCTAGCCTCATACTTGGAAGGAAGTTTATCGTTTTTCTTAGTTTTACTTTGTATTTGAGGGCAATTTTCCAAGTACAAGCTCCCAGGGGGCTTATATTTGGAGGGGCGATTTAACGGAGGGTTTTTGCGTTACTGGTTTGGGGGGTTTATATTTGGAGGGGCTTATACATGGACCGGCTTATTTTCGGAATTTTACGGTATCCCAAAAATAATCTCAACAAATTTGTCGCCGATTGCGTAGGTTGGAGAAACACAGTGAGTAGTGAGAATTCCAAAAGAACTAGAGGGAAATGGTAGAATGAATGGTAGACCTTCCGTTGGCTTACTCACCTTTCCTTAAGGTAACGTTCTGCAGCGCCAGCTAGCTTCTCGGGAGGGAATTTACAGAAGAGTGAATGAGATGCGGTGACAAGTTCTTCCACGTAATCAGGCAGATCGTCGGGGATTCGAGAAAGAAGATGGTGAACGTAACTCATTTCACATTCACCGCTTAGAACATCAGCACGGCGGCGAATAACAAGCTACAGGGGAGAAAGCGATCACGTTACACAGAGAATTTGAACGCAAACTAACGTAGTCAGCTGGTAGTCCCAGAGTGCAGACAATGTTAAGAAGGCAGAGTTATACGGAGCAAGCTTGAGGACAAATGACATGATATGCGTGAAAACCACAAAAAATCGGACACAACACTCGACAGAGTATGCACAGCAAACTCGCAACGAAACGGCTATGTTTTGAACTAACCTGAGATCAGGCCCAATTTGAGCGGTTCTCATACATTCTCTCTAACGGCTACCGCTGTTCGTCTTGCCCGGCAAAATGTAATTTTCAAAGTGGAACGAAAATAGAGCCTGATCTCAGGTTAGTTTTGAATATACACAAAGGAGAGCTGAAGTGTTGCTCTTTGCGCCTGCCTGAACTTTAGAAGTTGATATTTAGTATCAGGCTGATCAGAAACAGGAAACAGACTTACCGCAGGAAACAGACTTACCGCAGCACCGAAGTACACGGGCATAAGAGGATGAGTTGCTAAGAAATAGTCATACAGTCGGACAATGGTGGTAAAGTCCTTAAGCACGTGACCATACCACGTGATCAGCCAGCTAAGAGCGAAAACTTGGCCCACTTCAGACCTGATTTGTACATGTACAGAAAAAAAATGATAACAAGTAATGTTTGACATTTAGGGGAGTGCGTTCGACAGGGAGGGGGTAATAAGGAAAAGGGAGGGGTGGGGGTGGGAAAGTGGGAGATGGAGGGAAGGGAGTGCAAGCAGCACCTGACAAGTACAGTTCAATATGATTGCACCTTACACTACTCACTACTACCAGTTTCACTATTCATTCAAAATATTTCGCCGTTTCGAATTGGCTCACATTCCAAGGCTAATTCTTCGGATAGCGTTGACCAAATTTTGAAAACTTTTGTTGTAGTTAATTTTTTATCTCGCGTAATTTTTGTTTTTCTTTTGTTTTTGGGTATGGTAATGTATGCTAATGAAGTTGCAACAAAAGAAAAATAAAATAATACCAAAGATAAAAAATTGACTACAACACTTTCGCAATATCCGAAAAATGACCTCAATAGTACGGGTAATCGCCAGAAAAATGGACGGCATCCAAGAAGATCTGGGGACAAGATTGCATTTTTTGCTACAGCTGTAGAAAATTATTGTGGAACATTTCACACATCAGCCTCAGCCGATAACACCCTTCTCAATCTCCACCATTCTTCAGATCAAACTCAGCCTTATATTACTACCAATAATGCTTGTACCACTTTTTGGTGGGGGAGGGGGAGGTGGGGAGGGAAGAACATAGTACCCTGCATGAGACAATGCAACTGTGTATTTGGCTCACTGGTGAGAGTAACAATGCCTCCCACCAGTGTGGCCTAGGTTCAGATCCTAGTGTTCACACTGTGTAAATAAATAGAGGATATTACAAGGCCGCGAGGAAATACAAAAGTTCTCTTCGAGTGTTGAAAGATATTTCACTAGTCTTGTTCACTGCGCTCACTTGTGAAATATTTTTCAACACGAAAAGAGAAATTTTGTATCTCCAAGCGACTATGTAATGTCCTATTTATTATATAAACACCAATGAAATTCCAAATCATTTCACTTAAATATTTTTTTGGCTACAAAAGGCATGATTATTTTATTATGTAGCCATAACAACGGTGATCTTTTAACATGTGAAAATAACGTGATATTTTCACATGCATAACAATAACATGTTATTTTCACGAGTGAAGATATCAGGATTTTGCGCGAAAGCTCACCTAGTATTTCATTGGTGTTTATATACCGTAATAAATAAATATCTTCTCCCCTTATGGAGCTTTTCAGGGGTGATAAACAAATAATTAAACTTGATCATAACATTGTTAAGAATCCCAACAGGTAGGAAGCGAACCAGTTGGCCATTTTAGGAGCCTGGCCAAGGATTTGAACATGGCACTATCAAGAACAAATCCAGCTAGAGGTCAGAACGAGACTTGAATCAGGTCCTCCAGATTACAAGTTCAGTGCTCTAACCATTTAGCCATGCTACTTCGAGATGAAGTGCCGCATGTGGGTTGAGTTTGTCTGAAATGTCAGCTATTTCCTCCTCATAACCCATGGGGGAGAGGGAGAGGAGAAAAGAGCCAGGGGGTAGGGGGTAGGGGGTTGGGCATGGGGTAGAGAGTGGGACTAATCACAGGTTTATCAGCTCTTGGAACTACAGTCAAACCTTTGCTAATGGCCACCTTTTTTCCTCCCAGTGGACAAAAATCCATAAAAATCCATACATTGACTCTTGTTTAAAGCCTCTCTACAACGGGCACCTCTCTACGACAGCCACTTGCTTCTGTCCTCAAGGTGGCCATGCATTGTAGAGAGGTTCAACTGTATTAAGTGTTACTCTCTCTCTCTCTCTCTCTCTCTAAGCATCACTGTTTTTGTTTTACGATTTCTAAATTTTACAGATGAATTTTACCATGCATACTGTCTTGTTAAATAAAGTTTTCAAAGATGCAATCAAAATAATATCAAGGTATCATATATGGACATGTATTATACATGCTTCAGTTTCTAAAACTCAGTACATTGAGTCAAGGTTCAATGACAACAAAGAGGGAAAAAAAGCTGATGCCAAAAAGGTGAAAGTTGTTCCGTACATACCTAATGAGGAAATCTTCTAATTCAGGATCAGCTTCTTCAAGAATGGGGTGCAGAAATGCCAGCATTTTATTAGTCTTCTCCATGGAACCCTCCATAAAATCCCTTGAGAATTAATAAAATAATTGAGAGACAATATCAAGATTTAAAAAGCACTCACAACAAAAATAATTAAGACGGAATCCACCAGGAAACTGAGTAATTTTAATTTTCAATGGACGAAAACCTTGTACCAGAATAATTTAAAGCATATTGCATTCTTTTTTACATTATTCAAGGGCTAGAGATGTAGTTTAAGTCATCTGTAATAACACCAAAGAAAATCTCTCATGGGTGCCCGAGAAAATGAATGTCAAATTTCACAAAATTATATCTTACACATGAAATTTTCAGAATTTTACCTAAGTTTTCACAATTCTTAAGGTTCCTGCTTGCCAAAAAGAGCCTCCAGTAATTCAGTAGTTAAGGCATCTGAATTAGAACTCAGATGGTTGTGAGTTCCAAATCTCGTCTGAAGCTCATCTTTATTTGTGGGCTCTTTCATGCTTGATTTCTCTTTCTTTCAAAACATTATTTCAAATGGCACTTCTAGCATTTTGATGACTTATTAATGGTGATCAGACCTTACTTTAATTTAGCATTAGAATATCATTCAAAAGTCGTGAAAATAAAAGAATTGATCACCACTTAATTAAAATGTCACATTCCCTTCATGAGTACCACTGGAAATGTATGGATAGTAGAAAGGAGCATTGATTTCACCTGAGCTGATACAGTGATAGCTGTTCAAGTAGTGCGGAGGCAACATCCTCTCCAACGACAAGCAGAAGAGTTACTGCTACATCATGGTAACCCTTGGAAGTGAAAAAAAGTAACGTAACCAAATGAATATACTAGATTTTACGCTGTACTATGTCTACCAGCTTAACACTTAAACACAAAGAAAAATATTATTGACTCAGACCACTGTTTGTCTATTTCTGCATGTTTTGGCCAATACAGTGCATCTACACTAGTCCTCCCCTGGAGTTTGATGAAAGCTCAAGGGTAAACAGCCCATGTGATAAAAATCATCAATGATTACATTTGGGAATAGATTTTTGCAATGTATTACAACAGTTGTATCAACTGTTACATTAATTCTGGGGAGAAAAATCAAGTTAACTACTGATAATAATGGTTAGTGATTTTATTATTGCTACATGTAAATATTGCTGAAGTCAGACTGTTCTGGTAACCAATAACAACAATTACCTGATAGTAGTGTAGGTCCAGGTTTCTACACAAAACTCTCATAATAACTCTAACAAGTTGTTCTTGAAGTGCACGACGTCTTGAAGCCCTCATTTCTACGGGGATAATGTCACAGGTCAAAATTAAACTCAGGTTAATTTTTTTTAACCTAGGTCAGTTCTCAATTTCGAAGCCCTGCCATCCCATGTTACTAGTCTGTGTCTACAAATACCTCACATCGAGGTTGGAAATTGAATGAAAATTCTTTGTCTTTGTCGAAATTTTAGAAAAGGGGGATAGCAATGCGTTGTAAAGAAACCATTACAGTTCAGCAATTTCTCAGTTAACATTTCGCTTATCAAACACCGATGCACTGCTATTCACAATTAACACAATTCACAGGAGGGTCCACTGAAGCTCACTGACAAGAGACATTCTCTGATGTGCAAGGAAAATGGACGAAAATTACTTCTTCTTAGCATTCAGACTGGCGACAAATTAGCCAATCCACCGTTCTTTGTCATTCATTCACGGCTTTGCCGTCACTGTCGCAATTTGGCCAGGGAGGTTGTCTCTTGCCGCGATTTCATTTTACACTCTGTCACTACTTTTTGGGTCAGGTTACTTATTGGAATTTACCCTGGCAGGGCCTCGATTTCATTTGTCTCCTACATGTAGCCCGCAGTCATGAACATTAGGGCTAGGAGATAAAGAAAAATTGAGAAGCAACCCAGGTTAAAAAATTTTTAACCTTACTTAAATTTTGACTGCTAACATATACGTCAATTTAGTAGGTAGGAAACATGCATGACTGCACAATATGCCAAACTGATAATGCTTAAAACATTTTCTAAGACAAATTATTTTTAAGACAAAATCCTTTCATTTTGTTACCCTGTTTAAGATAAGACACTTTTTTTCACGATGCTGATTCATTTCACTTCCAATACAGAATTTGTATTACAAAAACTGATATACATGTATTTAAAAAAATTAGATTTCAGAAATGTTGGTATTTTACACTTAGATAATTTGTGCACTGCCAACCTATAAAACTATGTTTCCAATACAAGTACTTGGATTCTGAACAAACTACTGTACAACATGTAATTAACCCAAGTTCACCGGCGGGGCTAAAGTGCAGGTCACAGGTCACAGGTCAGGTCACAGGCCAGGTTACAGGTCACAGGCCACAGGCCAGGTTACAGACCACAGGCCACAGGTCAGGTCACAGGTCAGATCACAGGTCACACACAAAAACAATAGGGCACTGGACAAAACTGTTCTTGATTGGCATTTTATTATACAAAGCCAAGGAACCTCAATTATATTTTTTCTGTTCTGAACTTTACCAAATCCCACACATGAGAAAATATATTCATTGTTGATCACGCAAAGAGGACTTGCGTTACAGCGTAACCAAAGTTGGTAACGAAATCACAAAGGTACGCAAAATCATGTGTTTTTTGAGAAAAAAACGAATCTCAAAACGAAGGGCTGTTGCGTTAAGAATATCATGACGTGTTTGTAGATGTTTTGAAAAGCATTCGACGGGAAAACGGAAGAAAAACTTAAGGACAGTCTAAAACTTATTTGACCGCTGAAATACGGCAACTTTTTTCAGACTTTCCTCGTCCTAAACTCTTCTTGCCACTAGATCGTTCTTCCATCTCTTTTGAAGATGGCGGCCTGTTGCTCGCGCTTCGTACCAGTCATTAAATACTGCTGTGTTAAAGTGTAGTCGGTTAAGAACTTCAGACACTGCTATTTGGGCCTCTCGAATAGTTGCTGGACCATATTTCTCGGCTCTTCTCCCAAGAACTTGCCATTTTCTCATGTTCTGTTGCACAACAGCTTGAAAAACCTCTGTTGGATTTGCCTCGTGGGCTTTAGGTGGGAGCATTCCACCATTACAACTTGAATCTTTGACTCTGTAAACTGCTGATGTATAAAAGGATTACAGTGCTGCATTTCAATGACTCGCTCCAAGTTATCTTGGCTGCACGGTTTATTTGGAGATGACATTCTAATAACACGACAACACTTCGTTTTCAGTGAAAAACATGTGATTTGTTTTTCGTACAAATCACATGATTTTGCACACCTTTGTGATTTTCGTTCTGAACTTTGGATATGCCGTATGATCAGCATGAAAATGTTATTCCATGTGTGGAATTTAATATTGTTTAAAGGACAAAAATATCATCAAGGTTCCTTGACTTATTTTATTTTTGTATAGTAAAACGTCAGTCCAGAACAGTTTTGTCCAGTGTCCTATTGTTTTTTGGGTGACCTGTGACCTGACCTGTGGCCTGTGACCTGTGACCTGTAACCTGACCTGTGACCTGACCTGTGGCCTGTGGCCTGTAACCTGACCTGTGGCCTGTGACCTGTAACCTGTGACCTGACCTGTGGCCTGTGACCTGCACTTTAGCCCCGCTGCTGAAATTACTTTTTTTCTGTATGTACAGAAGTATACACAGTGTTTACCTACAATCTTGCAATAAAAGCATGACTAGTATATATAGAGGTCTTGTTTAAAACCTTTGAAAATATTTGTTTGTTTTGGCTACAGGAAAAATAAGAATGATTGCCCCACCTGCTGGAAATCTCCTGTGCGATCGATCAACATCCAGGTTAACTTGCTTCCAATATTTATGTGCTCGAAATTGCTTGATCTCCATATTATCTGTCAGTGCAAATAACACTACATAATTATGAATTTACACTTCATTAATAAAATGCATTCACAAACAAACCAAGTTCCTGAAAATGGTAGATAAACTGTACCAAATAAAGAGGAATCCTTTAAGTTTCCAGCAAGCAGAGCTTTCTATGCCACTCTATGTCACTACTGGCTGGGTAAATGAAAGTTCTAAACATTATTTTGAAACAATTTCCAACCTCAAAAAAAGAACCGCGCTTGAAAGGATTGAGTAGATAATTAAATTGACTGCCAAATAGGCATTGAGAAGCAGCCATTTCAGAGATTTGTAGCTCTTGGTCACAGCGAATTGAATGGATTTATTTTCACAAAGGCTACTCTGCACTCAAAATACAGATGTAGAAAACAGACATGCTATGTTAATCTCACTTAATTTATAAAACTATTATAAAAACACTAATAAAAATGCTCAGTTGGTAGAGCACTGCAGCACTGCTAATGCGGAGGACATGGGTCTGAATCCTGTTGAAGTCCCAAATTTTTTTCGTGTTAATTTGCAATTGCTTAAACTGCAATTATCACTACTGCGGCGATCATATCTTCACTTAAATTTGTATTTCCACAGTTCAAATCATCTTCATTCTAAAAGACACTACAGCTTAGCACATGACTGCCAAACACAGGTTGACTTTTCCTGCAATTTTTGGAGCCAAAACAGTCGCAGAGGTTGGAGAGCTGCAGTAGATCTGCTTACAATGTATCATGAGGTACACTTTACCTTCCTTTTTTTCGTGATTTCTTGAAGCCTCAATTGCATTGACATTCAGAAGTTTAGTCCACACCTTGCTTCTAAGGTCCACGGTAATGAGTCCATCACCTGATATTGCTAGTTGTTTTAGAGTCTGCACATCCACTGGATCTGCTTCTAAAGCATCCCTTATCCTCCTGATCTTCCCACGCAATCGCGACTCTGACACTGGAGGGTTAGAGAAATCACAGTCAACTTGACATCAATGTCAGGAAAGAAACCCTTGCATAACTAACACTACCAAGTCCGAAATTTACAGCTGTCCAGTTGTCTGAAACGAGCAGATTGTAATAGTGAGGACCAAAATATAGCAGAAGGTGGCTGCCCATTGAACGACCATTTCATTAAAGCTGCCAACTTCTCCAAGATATGAACAGGAAGGACACTTTCAGGTGAGTTATAACTCACTATTAAGGAGTACATTTTCCATGACCATTAACGTGAAAAATTGATTAAATAGATTATCTCATCAAGACATGCATGGTCTCAGCAAGATCTCACAAGAACCAAGAATAGATGGCAGGACTTTATGGGGACTTTCTGCAGGTACCGTCCCAGGCGGCCAGATTTATTTACTCAAGTTAAGAGAAAAGGGTAAGTAATTTGCATGCCATAGGTGATGCGTGACCTTTGCGCTTTGTGCTGGATGCACTGATGTCACATTACAAGAGACTACTGAAAATAAGAGACTTTGTCTGAGAAATAAAATCCTGAGATCTGTAAATGCTGAAAAAAGTTACATTTAAACTTTTGTTCACAAAAATGAATAAAAAAGACTTGTCTGCGATGAATTCTCCCTATATTTTGGTATTTGCTTGTTGTTTCATTGGATTTTTAGGCTCTAGTGCGCCAGACAATGTAACAGTGGTTATGTAATTGGGCCTAAAAATCCAGTGAAACAACAAACAAACACCATAACACAGTGAAAACATGGACAAAAGTTTAGATTAAACATTTTTTAGTGCTCACAGATCTCAGTATTTTATTTCTAACAGTGTCTGACTCTCACGTTCCGTCTCCAGCTCGTCCAACGCAAAGGTTACGCATCACCTATGGCCCGTAAAGTACTCAAGGTTGGTTTTCACCAGCAACGGAGTCGGAGTCAGAATCCTAAGCAGAGTCAAAAGAGCGCTTATGGCCTTGTGAAAATCAAAAATCAGTCTGAGAGTTGTAAGCAGAGTCATAAGTGCGACAGAATTGGAGTCGGAAGAATCAGAACAGTTCCATTTTCTTATGACTCTGTTGTTTGCGATCTAGTGAAAACAAGATTGTCAGAGCCGGAAGCAGAAGCGGAAGGATAAACCAGTCACAATGCACGTTCCAATGCTTTGTGATTGGTTTAGCCTTCCACTACTGCTTGCGACTCTGACAACCCAGTTTTCTCTTGATCATAAATGATGAAGTCGTAAGCGGAATCAGAATGCTTTTTACACTAGATTGTTAAGTTCTATGCTACTCTATTCTTCTCGTAACATGAGTTTGGGCCACCTGCGGTACTGTCATCACATACAAAAGAACCAAAGGAGCCTAAAAATAGAGTTCTCCTGGGGGCTTTATATAACTGTTTGGTTATAATTATTGTTTCTTTTGTTGTATGTAATCTGTGCCTTTCTTGGTACCTACAGAAGGAACCAGTTTATGTTAAAAGGGCTCTGTCAGCCCAGGCGCATGTGCAGCCTGGAGGACAACAACTTGAAAAAGTCAGCCCAACGTTTCCAAATTGTCAGAAATTTTGAAAGGCTATTTTTCTCTGTTTATTAAAATCTTAGCCACCGTTTGATAGTTAGCACAGTTTTGTATTAAGTAGCATTCTATGGTGATTACAGAAGACTTTTTTCTGTTATTTTTGAAGTTATTTCACCTTGGAATCTTTTACATGGATTTACAGTGTCCTCTTATCAGTGACCATTGTTAACTGGCAGCGGCCAAAAGAGAATTAACTACTACAATCAAATCTCCACAATGAGTGATTGAACCTTAGATGGAATCTTTCTTTATAGTTCACAGAACCTTTCTGTTGACTTATTTTAGAGGCTAGTGGCTCTTGGATATTTTTTTGTACTCAAAATATATGTGGACATAATGAAGCAGCTATCGAGTTGGCAGCAGCTGTTTTTATTAAACCCTTACAACAGCATGGCCATGAGTTTCGTGATGAAACTCAACTTCTGGTGAAGGAAATGTTATACATGTAGTTATATTCCTCCTTGTATTTATGTGATCCACGGCAAGAATAAACACAACCGTTTGCCTGTCCAGCTTGTTCTTAATGGACTTAGCGAGGCACCAGTTATACTTTAGATCTTGTGAATGCCATGTCTTTGAACTGCAGGTGTTCAACTGGGGTAGTATACCAATGATACTTGGTTCTGTTTTTCTCGATGTCACAGTGATTCAGCACGATCAAACAGTTTAAATGTGCGATCAATATATGTTTCCATAAATTCTATCAATTTTATCCCTTATCCAAACCCAATTCACTTGTAAACATCGCTGTCAATTTCAGCACTTTGTACATGACATAGAATGTCAAGCATTAAAAACAATAGAATTTAGACAGATGAAAGTATATTTGCATGACCTCAGCGCACATGCTCTCCAGCTGACATAGCCCCTTTAATTAATTTCAAGTTAAGCCTACAAAGATCAACCAATGCAAATCCCTCTTGCCATCTTCCTTCAGGAGATCCAAGGCACTAGCTTTTACGATGTGATATAATATGGATTCCGGTAACTGCATTGTACAACAAAATTATACCCCTTACAGACAGGAAAATAACTCAAATTATTATATAGATACTGATGAAATACCAGGATTTTTCCTTTTAATAAAAAATCATATCTTTATCACGTGCAGTGAAGATACTATTTTTACCTTACATGTGTGAGGATATTGGTGTCGCCATGGTTACTAAAATGATTAGCCAATTACAAGAGAGCTTCCTTAGAATTTTGACTTTCTGGAACAGAAAATATAAGTATTATTGTCTTTATTTCTCCCTTATAACTTTATATCCGAGTTTCATAACATTTTTGTGACAGGCATTTTGCAATAGATGACCACTTTAATTGCACCATTTTGCTGTTTCGAAAATGAATAAAAAAAGTTGTGTTATTATGTAGGAATTTCATCAGTATCTATAAAATAAACAGAACATTACATGGCCGCTTACATGGCAATTTCCAAGGATCGAATTTATATGCTATCAACCAATTTCGTCGCACTTTAGTTACAAAGAATATAAAAGCTCACTTACTATAGTACATCATTTGTGCCATAATGCCTCCGCTTTGATGTCCATGTCTTTTTCCAATGTTAACTTTTTTCTTGTAAGTGTAATATGGCGTTTGCTGTTTGAGCGCCATGTTATTTAACTGGAATTCCAAGGACTCGTAAAACACTAAGATCACTGATGAAGACACGAGGAAATTAATAGACACGTATTTTAACTGCTATTTTCTTGAGTTTTCAACGTGAAATTATCGAGAAAAAGGCCTCGGCACCTCGGAATACAACAACATCCGACTCCATTTTGCTTCCTCCACCTGTTTGAAGAGCCGCTGGCCAAAATAAAAAATATAGTGGGCTCTAGAAAACTACGAGTATGAAATGCTTCCGGATGCTTCAGGTAGCCCGTGTACAGACCAGCCTCCCCCTCTCCACTCTCCTTTTCTGAGGGGAGTGGGGTCTGTACACAGGCTACAAACTAGAGGCTTATGAAAGGCATTCTTAAGGCATTCTTGTCCCCAGAGGCCGTAGCGGGATATACAAATGTCCCTTGTCTGAATTATCAATTTCAAATGTGGTCGTTTCGAGTTTTGAGGAGTAAGCCATGTCTCTGTATTTAACTCATCTTCATGTCTTTTGTCACCATTGCATCGAGTCTGATATTGCCATTTCAAGGCCATGTTGCTTGTAGGAATTTTACCCCAACAGGGCCTCATAGTATGACTCAATTTATTTTTTTATTTACCAACTCTTTTCAAAACATTTTTACACAGTCAGATAATCATCAGCATCATCATCATGCATCACCATCAACAACACTGTGAGCTTCAAGAAGAATAAAACGAGAAATAATCTTTAGGCTCAGCAATGTAAGATACATTTCGTTTGTTTTAATCCTCAAAGCCTCAGAGCTAAGTATGAATATTTATTGTAACATACAGTTAACTCCCGTTAACTCAAACCCTCTATAACTCGAACCTCCCACTAACTCGAAGTAACATTAATTTTCATTTCCCTTCAGATCATATTCTATATAATTTTACCCTCAATAACTCAAACTCCCAATAACTCAAACTTTTTTCTATTTCCCTTGAAGATTTGAATTATTGGGAGTCGACTGTATCAAACTCTTGTTAAAACAGAGGAACAGTCTTGAAGCCATCACAATGCAGTTAGTATTTTATGATACCAATATGACCCTCCCCCCCCCCCCAACCCAATTATTAATATACTCCTGTATAATGTTGAAAAAAGAGAAGCCTCAAAATAAGAGAAGAAAAAGTGTTTTAATGGTGAACTTGAATGTTTACTAATGGTTTTACATCTACCATATTTAAATGAAACCATATACTTGACTAAATTACTGAAATTAGAAATATTACTTATTTTGCACAACCTGAGATTCAACATTATAGTTTTCACAATGACAAAATCATGTATTCCTTTTCCCTAAATATTAATTTTCCAACTGTCCAAAACTGTAAAAATAAAAAAAAAAATGATGATTGACTGTTTTGCCCATAGCCTGCACCACAGAAGTAATCTAACCCCAGCAAGTAAAGGCTGCGAAGCAGCTCTCAGATCATTGTTCTGGACCCTTAACAGTCTCAACTTATTACTGGAAATGCAGTGCGAATTTCCTTTCAATCTGATGGGCCAAACGAACGATAATTTTTTTTGTTGTTGTTAACAGGCCAACCATAGTGCATACTCAACTCCTGGTATGTACACAGGGCGGTTTCCTGATCAACGCACTTAACCAGAGGTTTAGGGTGTGTTCCTTTCGGTGAATCCAAAAACGGATTTTAGATCTAAAAACGGATTTCGCGTTCCTTTCGGCAAATCCAAATCCGGATTTTTGATCTGGTGAATCCTTTTTGAAAAAGGATTCACTGGATTTGAAATCCGAAGAATCCAAATCCAGATTAGCGGATTAGTGATCTACGCTGTTCCATTCACAGTGGATCCGAAATTAGTCAGATGATCCAGCGGTATTTCCAGTTAAAGTATTCCCATAGAGGCCGTAGAGTTTCCTCGTTGCGGTCATTTGCCCCAAAACATCTGAAAACATTAGAAGATTGTTCCTGGTACATTAAAATATCCATATACTGACCATTTGTCTCTAAAGATTGCTTGAAATCAGAAATAAGTAAAAGTAACAAATGAACTGCTATCTAACTACAAACTCGCTTGTAGACGCGACAGGCATTCGATCGTGCTACATAAAAAAATCCGAGCTATGGAACTGGATCAAACTGGCCGACATTCTTTAGATAATTTTCAATTTTAATGCGCTTCTTTCTTTGTCTGTTTTATATGTTCCATCATCGCTATTCGAACTGCCGACCACTAAATTCTGCACGGTATAATCGCATAATTTGTCAAACAGTAGAAAACACGTCATTTTTTGAGAGGCTGTCGTGCATATTGCACGCTTTGTCGAAAGGTTACCAAGGTTACAAATCCAATTTCGGATTTCACGTTCCTTTCGACCGAGAAATCTGGCAAATCTAGGATCAAAAATCCGTTTTTGGATTTGCCGAAAGGAACACACCCTTAGTTTCATCTGTGGCACAGCTGGCTACACAGGATTCCTATCCAAACCGTTTAATAGTTTTAGTACGAAAAAGGAGAACTTTATACCCAATGCTTTGGTTCCCTAGGTTTCCTATTCCAGACAACAAATGCTGACATATAATGAAATCGACAAATATAAAAGTGTAGACTTTGATATACATTTTCTAATAAAAGTAATTAATAGGCTGGAATAATTATGCATTTATCCAGAGCTGTGAACTTTGTTTGTTGTTGTTGCTGTTATTTGTTAGCAGACGTAAATACTATAAAAGTCAACACAACAAATCAGAAAACTATGAGATTTATACTCAGCAAGAAAAACTGAGGATTTATTTTAGCAACGTGCAACGACACATGCAAATTAATAACAGTACCCATGAAGCTTAAGGTCTGAATTTTTTTTCCGCTTTTCAGTTTGGGTCGTTTTAGAGTTATTTAAAATAACTAAATATACTTTGCTGCCACATAATTCAAAGAGATGGCAAATTATTCCATCTCATAACAAGAAATAAGACAAATGTCGGTTTAAAGGCTTGTTCTAAATCTAATTCGTAAGAGCTCTAATAGCTATATATATAAATTACGAAGTTAACTTCCGCAAATTAGTTTATAGTTGGTGTCGTGGCTTCAAGTCACCTACAGAATGAAATTAAGTGAAAATTTAATGAATGAATGCCCGATTCCTCCACAGCTTTCGCTCCCTTGTCTCTCTGCTTTCTTGCCAGGCCAATCGCCAATCTACATTCGGCGGTAAACACCGAGTTGCCTTCGGCAGTTTGGACACGAATGCACAGCATCTTGCATGCCATCAATGCAGAAGGGTATCAGGCAACATCCAGCCCAACATCCGACCAAAATCAGCCCTCCACAAACCAGCCATGTCAGCGTGCCTGGGTTGTAAGTGACCGAAGTCACTATAGTTGCATTGCAATATGGGCACATCATTGACACCGGCGATTCTCCGTAAAGTGCACTTCCCACAACAACAGCAGTAGGTTGTTGAATGATGGTTGTGGTCTGATGAGTAGCGTGAGCTCCCACTGGCGGAGCATAGCCTTGAGGAGGTGGATAGCCTGCTTGCGGTGGTGGGTAGCCTTGTTGTGGTGGGTAGCCAGGTTGTTGAGGATAGGCCGGTTGAGCTGGAGGAGGATAACCGCCAGCTTGATAGGGTGGAGGTTTGTCAGACATCTTGGATTCCTCGGGGACTTAGAACGAATAAATTTTCCTGTTCTTGAAAATCAAGACGCCGCTGTTTCCCTTCTCGGCGATCTAAACGGTTAAAACAAATAGAAACATAAATCCATAGGTTAAAAACCCTCAATATACACTTTCAAACAAATGAAAATACTAAATCCACAGAACGCACACCTACATCGCAGAAACTATCCTTCTTCGTCACGAACTGAATCACGTGATCGAACTCCCACACACGTACAGAGCTCTGTTTCCAAGTTGTTGGTTGGCAAGGCACAACAAACGCGCAATAGCCAAAATGGATTGAAACATTGGACAGAAGGTTGAAGTGAAAGTTTCGGACAAACTTTCTGAAGGAGCTTTTAGTTTGCTTTAACAACGATAGAGCCCTAGCCGCTGCCGGCCAAATGAAAGAAGGACTTTATAAACTAGTTAATCATTGTTTAGTGTTCAAATAATTGCATCAAAGAGGTCTTCAAAGGGATTTATATAGTATAGTAGCATAGTATAGTAGTTTTGCCAAGTAAACTTGGGAAATATTGGGCGCGATCCATTCAACCGGGAAAAGTGGTCCACCTCAAAAGTTGGACCAGTTTTTCCGATCCATTGAGTTTTGGACCAAAATTTCCGGAAATTTTGGTTGAATGGATCGCGCCCATTCTTTGCTCACGAGCTCCAGTTCCCCGCTGAGCTCACCATATTACTGTTTTAGCACAGGCAAACCACTCTTTTTACATACGGGAATTGAAGCTCCTAGCCGAATTTCCTCCTCCCTAATCGTTTGCCTATTTTTTCTAGGCCTGTTCAGTGTGGGCTTTTTATCTGTGCAGCCTACTGACAGCCCGCCAGTTAACCGCCAGCTGTGCTGGTCAGAAACAGCCCCGTAGTACAGTTCCACTGTAGCGTAATTTTTACATGCGTAGGCACGTAAATTTTACGCCCGAAAATGAAAAAAATAGAACCTCGCTCAACTTTTACTTTTGCACTCGGCCTTTCATACATTGCTTCTGTTTTATTTACGCGCGCAAAATTTACATGCGTACGCAGGTAAGAATTACGCGACAGTGGAAATCCACCCTAAGCCGGTTTACTTAGGCCCGGTTCAGACTCCGATCTTTTCATATTTAGACGGGCTGAATTGATTCAGACGCCGATCTTAATCAGTAGCTGAACTAAGTTCAAAAGGCGAAAAATGCTCATTTCGGTCAAACTGCGTACAAAATACGTTATGATAATTTATACATTGGGTTTAGCCTTCGAAAACATTCGTTTCTCTTCGCTCTTCGCCGGTAGGCACGTTCCGCGCCTACATTAGGTTCGGTACATGAAAAGTTCGGCGTCTGAATCAAAGCCGTTCTAAAGTCGCTTCAAAGGCGAAATTCTCGGCCAGGCTAGGCGAAAAGGACGGCGAAACAGGCGTTCCTAATTGATTCAGACGCCAAACTTTTCATGTACTTAATTCAATGTATTAGGTTCGGCTCATGAAAAGTTCGGCCTCTGAATCGGGCCTTAAAGTAACAATCAGATCGGTTTTAGTAGATTTGTCGTAGACTGTGCACGGTACTGAAGATTGCATAGACGTGTACGAAATCCTGTGCATGTAGTCTCATAACATCCCACATATGACCGAATTTTTTACCTTCAACTCTTGCTTTGGAATAGCAAGGTACATTTCCAGGTCACTATAAAAAAACAAGATCACAGGATTTAATAAAACCTTTTCAAAACTGTGCTGTAATGGAAAAACATATAAACAACGATTTAGTGGTTATACATTCACAAATAAAAAAAAGACGTTCTTTATCTGTAATATTCCGGATCAAATTGGAATTGGGAAAAAAGTGTTGTTTTTGAGGAGAGGGAAAAACCGTAGTATCAGGAGAAAAATCTCTCGAAGGAAGAGAAAGAACTATAAAACAACAAATTCAATCCACATACGTCAGGACTGGAACCCAAGCCAGATGAGTGGAGGGCGCGAACTTTAACCACTGCGCTATGCTTATGATTGACCCTCCAGGAGCTAAACAGAGGAATATAATAAATTCGTGAAAAGATCAGTCTTTGTCATGGGCGTGCATCGACGTGGGCCCGTGAGGTTTTGATAGGGCTCGTATTTTAGCATCTCAAAGCATTTTTTTCAGCATTTAAAGAGCTTATAAGTGGCATGTCGAATTAGAGATTACGGGTATGTATTTGTCCAGCGCTAGTAATTAAAGTGAGGTGTTCTTTTGAACTGGTAATTGCAAGGGTTCTAATTTGCTAGAATTCTGGCGCGCGCGCAATAAGACGCAATAAACGAATCCTAGGCAACGCAAAGTTTATTTTCCTAGATAGGATATATCTTCGCACGGTTGTGTTAAGTACAAGCGACACTTTTGACTACTGCATAGCAAATAATATTGGCGTTTTGTGCTTTGAACGTTTAAAAGTGACTTTTAAGTTATGTGTGGATCACTTCTTTCCAAGTTTAGAAAGGCAAACAATAAGGTTGACCCAGGAGTAATTATCTTTCCCGAGCCTAGACAAAACATAAGGCCAAGGAAGCCTTCTAATGAAGACTCTGCATGTCATAAAGACAGGGAATTCTGGGAAAATGGAGCTCAGGTAGACGTATCGGAAATCCCATGTTCTTTGGCATCAACTCATCAGAGCAAGAAATTGTTAAAAAATGCGATACCAAGTCAGTGCGAGGCTAATTCTGTGCGCACATTAGATCGCGCAAAGCCAGTGCTGCCTGCTATCAACTCAACAAATGTGGCGTCTCCACTTGTGGCGAAGAATTCTGATCATCTTTTGGAGAGTGCGCGTGAGATCCTAGCAATCCATGGTTACAGGACGTCTTCAAGTTGCAATGCTGCGCAGCCTCTGACTTCAGTTAATTCCACTTTTCCGGAACATAAAACAGCAGTGGCTTTCGACATAGCTGTCACTGACGAGAAGACGGTCTATCCATCTGCGAGAGTTCCGCTGCGTTTAAGGAGACGTGGGCAGGTGGCGCCGGAAATCACTTTGGCGGATGTGCAGGATAAAATGCGCGCAGCGGAAGAAAGGAAGCTGAAGGAGCTAGAACGCATACGTGACTGTGCGCGCAGCAGGGCCGGTAACAGGGCTCGGCCACACCCGGCTGATGTGTCAGCTAAAGCGATAACGGAGAAAATTGCTGCAAAGCAAGCTGCAGCTGAAAGGAAGAGAAAAGAAAAGATGGCTCATAAAAAGCAAGCAGGTAACCGAGTCTCGCAGAAAATCGGCAGGATTGCTCAAGGGATGGTTTCCGCCAAGACCCAGCTTGAGTTCACCATTGAACGAAAGATGCAGGAGACTGAAAAAAGAAAGGTAAAACAACAGCAGAAAGGTGAAAGGAAAAAGAAACAGAAAGAGCTGCGGGAGAAATATGCGAAGAAAGTTAAAGACAGAGTAAGTTGATTTCCTAATCTAATTGGTGTGGCAGGCGTGCATCGAAACGGGAGGGGAAATGAGTTAAAAGAGACAAGGGATTTCTCAGGGAGATTGGGATTTCGAGCTTCTCTTCCTTCCCCCTCCCCCTCTACTCCCCTGTTTTGCGCCTGCCGACACAAGCTAATTGCAACTATAAAAAATCCCAATGATCACCGTTAGGTTCTCACCCAAACGTAAAGCCTCCTTTCAACGATAATCAAATCTCAAAAGTGACAAAAAGCTAGCAAAGGAAGTTTATTCAGACAAATGAAAGGATGGAAAGGTAGCCTACTGATGACACTCCTCTTGGTATATTTATAATAAAATTCACATGCTCGGGGGCGTATACTTCTGTACGCACGGTACGCGCGTGTTTACCTGAAAATGTCAAGGGTAAAAGAATAGAATTAAAGGATCGAAAACAAAGGGAAAAAAGCGATAACAATAAGTAAAAACAAATGAATAAATCACAAGTTTTTTAAAGCAAAGTTTGCCTGAGCTTGTTGGCTTAACTAATGATACGCGATTGACATGCTTCAGTTCATTTTCATGGTCAGTAAAAAAGCTTTGACTTCCAACACAGCCCTCTCCTTTAATCAAGGCATGCCTGGAAAAGATTTCGCGCTAAAAGGCAGGGGCAAGGGGGCAGGAGGGCCGAAGGGAGCGGAAGCGGGATTTGGAAAACTGTGCGTATCTCTGAAAAAATCCTGGCTACACCCCTTCTTGCAAAAAAATCTTTTAATATTTCCGGTTTCAGATGAACCAGATGATCAGACAGGAGGAGGAAGAAGTGCTCGATGATCTTAAAGAACTGGAGACTTACCTGGCATCGGATCAAAGCGAAGACGAGTCTTGGGGAAACGATCAAGAGGAGAAAGTGGCTTACGAGTGGCAGGATTTCTTCGCTGACTAAACGCTTATTAAACATGAACGTTCTATATCTATCTATGAGGGAGGGGAACAGGAGCATGCCCCGTTACAATGCGCGGTCGTTATTCCACCCGAGCAGTTCTTTTTTTACCAACTGTGCGCATGTCATTACAGCATTAACAGCTTGTTAAAGATAAAAGGGTAGCGGAAGCATTACCTGTTATTTATTACCCTGAGGATTACTGTGGAATGAAAGACATAAAACGTGCCCTTGTTTCCCCTCAGTCCCTCACAAATAATGCAAGATCTCGGTACATGTAATAAAAATATAAATAGAAAGAAACAAACCTGAAAGAGACATGATATCATTGTTGCAAGATTTCTTCGTATTCATTTATTCATTTGAATCTTTAGAGTCGTTCAGTTCCTTAAAATGAAAAAAAATAACAACAACAATACAAAAAAAAACAACAACAAAACTAAACAACAGAAAAAAACAAAATATTCGTCAAAAAATAATAAAATAATAATAAGAGTGAAAAAACAGCAATGGGCACAAATGGTTTCTTTGTCGAACCTTATCTATGTTACGTTTTCTCTCTATTGTTTATTTTAAATAAAAAATGCATTTTTATATATTGTAAAGAGTATTATAATCTTATAAGTACATATTTTACAATTTAATCACGAATTAATATGAACAGTGTTGTAAATAAAGCTAGTAATATCCAAAGATTGCTTGAGTACATTCATTTTTTGGGACGTTGAACAGATGTAACAACAACAGAAAAGCATTTCCGCGTAAACATTGCAACTTAGCCACTTCAGAAGAGACCAAAAACCACTTTTATCCGGCACTGCTTTGGCGTTAAACACCAATAACTACCATCATCATCATTATCATCACCATCAGCACTATCATCATCATCATCGTCATCATCATCATCACAATTATCATCATCATCAGAGGTATATGGTGCGACTCACAATCTAAATCTTAAAACGTTAAGTCCATTCGCAAGTCTGACAGTAGCCTTCCTTTGTGGCAGGCGCCAAAAGTGGTAGGTGAGGAAGGGAAAAAAGGAGGGGGGATTTGGGGGAAGTTTTTTTTGTTATTGTCCCTCTACCCCTCCCGGCCCCTTTTTTCGCCCACCAAGCAGGCTCTGACGCGAAGTGCCAGTAACTGTACGTTAAAACAAAACTGAATGCAGGGCTGGCACTACGGTAAAGGGCTGATTTATTGTAGGCCAATATTTCGGCTAACAAAATTACGTTATACGTAGTTTTCACCTTCTACATCCGTTCGAGCACCTATGCCATTTTCGGTACATTTTTAGGTTCTCCGCTTCTTATACCCTGTATGTCACTTAAGGTCAGGCCGACATCCATGATCATTTATGAATGGACACGCTTTAGGATGTCTGATTTCCTCCATGCATAAATCATTCTACGTTTTTTTTCCAGGGCATCTGCACTGTGATCGTACCATATCTGTTACGTTATTGTGATGACCCATACTTCTTTTAAAACCATTTTTATCTCCCCCTTCTACTAAGAAGATGGAGATCATAAGGCCACTGATCTGTCTCTCAGGCATATTTCAGTTCATCACAAAGTGTAATGACAGTTGTTACAAAGTGCAACAGTTAATTCTATTACAAACTGAGCCATGGTGTTATTAAAAAGGTGCGATGCCAATTTACTTTTATTAAAGAGTGCGGCAAGTTTTACAAGGTGCGTCAGAGGTTTATTACAACGTTGAAATAGATATCGTGCAAAGGAGAATGATTATTAAAAAGTGCGTAATTAGAAATTTGTCGGAAAAATTCAAAGAAGCACAATCTAATGTCCTCTACGCGGCTATTCGCGGCTATCAAATACTTTTCTCTTAAAGGAAAGGTTCAAATTTCTAAAAGCAAGCGACCTGTAACTAGGAAATTGCGGCAACAATTAATTAAAATTTGGTTGCTTTTCTCCTGTTTGTTCCAAAAACTACTGCAGATAGAATATCAAGCTTACGAATAGCCGGTATTAGCCTGCGTAGCAGGCGCTTGGAGGAAGTGGGAAAAAACAGGCGCGCGAGAACCTCGCGCGCGCTCGTTCTCTCTTTCGCTCACTACTTCCAAGCGCCTGCTTCGCAGGCTAAGCCGGTATACATCTTCTTTAAGAAAGCTTGAAAGTGTACACGACAATGCAGAAACGCATCATTTAGATTGTCAAAACTGAAATGCTGCGTTTCTTTTTCAGTAGAAAAAAGGAAACCTTCAGAAAACTAAGGTCTAACGTATTCATTATAGACTATGAGGAGTCTCTCTCTTTCTTAGTCCCACGAACGAAACGCGCGAGACACGAAAATGACCACAATTCAAAGTAGACAGACTGCAAATGACCACAAGCATGAGTGAAGGCGCCAGACGGTTTCGCGCGTACACTCCCCTCACTAAATCTGAAGAAAAAGATAGACTGCTTGCAGTTTATATTCGTTACAGTGTCATTACTGAAGTGACAATTTATTCGAATTCACTGATAATGTTCTAAAAGACGTTAACCTTTCTCGAATTTGCTGGCCCTTATTTTTCAATCAAACGCCCCCGATGTTCACAGAAATTTCAAGTTTGGATTTTTTGAACCTGAAGTTTATTCATGCCCAGTGTTTTAGTAAGAAAGCGGGGTTTTCTTTTTCGCTTTGTTATCCTGACCCTAGATTACTCATACCAGAAATAAGTACATGATGAGCTTCTGAGTCGCAAATTCCCTGTTTTAGACCCGTTTTTACTTCATGGCCCGGGCCGAGTTGTTCAAAGCTGGGTTAAGATAACCAAGGGTTAGTGCGAGATTTGAATTCAGATTTGAAAGCTTAAAAAGCATTTCAATTTTAATTCTTTTTGTCTACAAGTTGAAGATTGAAAGCTCTAAATATAACGGAGAAAATTATCCGAGAAAATGCTTTTGAACACAAGAAAGAGAAACCCGGGTTAAGCGCTAATCGGCCTTCGAACAACTGGGCCCTGGCGTTTAAGTCGTATGCTTGAGCAACAACCAAGGTACGTACGATTAAAAAGTAGTCCATCGCTCAATTTAAACTACAAGCGGTCCTCATTTACCTTATATATGGACAAAATAGCGCGAGAGATATACAAGGACACATGAAGAATCACCATGTACCAAGACAGGCGAAACACAGAGAGGAATTGGTCATGATTTTCTTAACGTAGAAAAGTGTTCGTCTCGTGTCGCGCGCCTCTCCGACCGAGTGACAAATTTCACCGGCAGTCGCATATCTCTCGGTCCCAATTTTCAAGTGTACTTTACTTAAGTATTTCTGTCACTTCACTATGCCATTCCAGGAAAGAGCTCGATTCGCTAAATTAGTTAAGTTCCTTCTTTTTGCCTCCTGACTGCACGGAAGTTTCTTTCCTTGGAAAAGAAAGGTATCGGCACCTGAACTCAAAGGTCATGTGCCAAATAAACCCTTCCTAGTGGGTTTTTTCAAGTTTTGACAGAAAATCTGTTGACACGACTGAAAAGAGCACCTTGAAATTAGTAAACTTGCCAGGTTTGAAAGTTGTACGTCTTAAGAGAGCGACAGATATCGACTGCCCAAAGTTGCGCTAGCCCGCGTAGAAGGCTAAAGTTGCGCAAAAACACAGACGTTTGTATGGGGGGCAAGTTTGTGCCCTCCACCATACAAACGTCTGTGAATTTTCGCTATTTTAAAGAGCTATATTTTCGTCGTTTTCAACAAATTGTTCCAAACTTAAACGCGTTCTTTCCAGCATAGTCAACAGTTTCTCTCCGAGTTGTTCATGTCAAATGTTGAAAAAAAACGTGGAAAAACCTATGTGGTATATTCGTACATATTTTTTGATTAAGACAGTGAGCCAGGAAAAATCAGGGGGCCTATTGCCAATTATAAACATCATACTCTGAGCTTGCAGATGGTGAGATGTTAAGTAGAACACTATTGATCGCATGAGTAGATGCCATTGTATTCGAGCACCTCTGTTGTTTTTAAAGTCCCTTTTCCTTATGGGCAATTTTCTCCTTCTTTACAATTAACAATTACTTATGCCAACAGGAATATTTCTTCTCAATACAAATGGTGCGCGACAAATGTTCGATAAGCATCTTAATGGGATGTAATGGCAAAATGAACACTTTGTAAGTTCAATTGATTGCACGAAGATTAAGAAAGACTCTCAATCGGCAATTACTATACATGAGATAATACAAATCTTAAGTGGAAAAAAGGTCTTTTACGGACACTTTTCTACAGCAGGATAATAGAATGATTATTAAAACAAGAGATGCAAAAATAGTTTCCTGTATTCTCTAGTGATCAACCTATGCTTTGTAAATCTAGAACTGAAGTAAGTTGAAATCCTTGACTGATATTTTCTAATGACTGTGGTCTAATTTCCTACTCTGTTTCTTGAGCTGAAAAGAATACAACTTGTTCATTCAATTGTATTCTTTACTAATCAACTCTATATGCACGCAAACTCTCAGCTAAAGAGTTTGGAGGTTGTTTGATAAGGTAAGTCTTCCGTTGATATAGCACCACCTTTTGTTTATTAAAAGCTTTCTCTTTTCAACGTTTTTATGGACCGATATTGCATCAAAAGCCTTTAAATTTCGCGAACTTTAGTGATTACTCTGCACGAAAATTGTCTCTGTCATTTTTTTTCAAACTCCTTTTCCTTCAAATCTGTAGCTTAGACTTATTGTCCTTCGCAATCCATTTTTGGCCTTGCTTTGACCTCAGCTCTCACCCTAAGTTCCATTCGCTTCCCTCCAAGCTAGTTAACATACAGCAAAAAAAGCGAGCGAGTTTAACTTGCAGGTAAACTAACTACAGCTCGGTGTGCCGAATTATTTGGCTGTCGAGCGATTTGTTGTCTCTGCTAAAAATTAAGTTTTAGTTTGTGCTGATCCCCGGTTTTTAAAAAGGCGTATGTGTGATACAGATCGAGACAAGTGAACGAGTGAAATCAAATAATAAGTAAGAATGTTTACCGCAGCTATCTATCTCAGTTATAAATTGGTTCTCTTCTTCCTCTGAGTGAAACCATTTCGATAAGATAAGGAGAGATGACACAAACGCTTTTTTTATTATATGACTATTAAAGCAAAGAAGCTCATAACGTTCTAGTGATTAAACCCAAACAACAGTTGATTATGCTAAACTCCTCTCCGATAAACAGGAACAAGGTAAGACTCCTCCCAGAACCAATATCTGGTCATATCTAGAATCACTAAACATCTTTTTTCAAATGCGATATCTTAAATGTCCTAAATTATGTCACCGCTAGAACCGTATTTCCTCTGCAGAAGAAATGAGATGGCAGACTTCATTTCAAGATATTAGATTTGTGACGGCCCATATTAACCCCGAAATGTAGTATTGAATAAACATGCTCTTACTTAAAAGGGTGATTTTGTTAGCCTGTCTTATATCTGTTCAGAATAAATAAAGACATGAAAAGATTTTGTTTAAGCCTCTTTCTCACAGCAGTTTGTCTCCTAGAAAACTGAGCTTAGTTTGATTCAACCCGAAACGTCGTTATTTCATGATGTCGGTTTTTATCTTGATTACAACCACTGCACACCCACCCGAAATTAAAATGTCAAGATGTTCCTCTAGTGATAATTTTCTAAGACCAACCTCCGGGTTGAAAACAAGAAACCAATGGCAGTTTCAATATAATTCATGACAGGAAAGAAACAAGATATCAAGAAAAATACTCCACGGCAAAGATGCTTAAGAAAACATTTTGTGATATGCAGATCTCTTTTAATAATCGAAATGACTAAATTTCAGTGGAGAGGGACTGTCATCAGCTTTCTATCACGAATCTTTGGGTGGCAAGATTTATTTGAGCTTAACGTAAACGGATCCTTTTTGCATATTTAAATGATAAGGGTTGCTTTTTTTTGCATTGGAACAGGTCGCGAGGTTCCCGGTTTAAAAATAATAAACTTAAGGGGAATTATAATCAGCTTGCTCTTGAATGCAATAATAATCAGCAGTTTTACACTCTAAGTAGTAACATGTTAGCTATTGGCGAAAACAAGTCAACATTAGGCTCCAGGCAAACGAATGAATGTTGTTACCAGCAGTGCTAATATTGTCCAATTTACAGGAAAGCTATTAAAAGAACTTTTACGAGAAATGTCGCAAAATTACCAGAACAAACGAATTTACTTTTCGCACGTTATTGGCATCTCAGAAACCAATCGGAGCGGAAATTGATTTCCAGCGAATTGATATCGCCGCCTTTTGAGAAATGCTTGAGTTTTTTAAAGAAAATTTTCGTTTTTATTTTCCCCGTAGCTTTATATAACGCAAAACAGTCAAATCTTGATTTCACTTTGTCATTCAATTTCCGATGTAAACGTTTAGACCCGAGAATAAAAAATTGCAAAACTAAACGCACTTATTTTTTTTCGATCAAACGAGATTGAAGTGAAAGATTAAAATTATCAGTTTTCTGCATGGAAATTATCTTGGAATTTCAACTGTTCGTCAGTTGAAATTATATTTGCTTACGCTGTTTACATATCATGTAAAGCAAGAGAACAATCTCGATTCTTAAAAACAGCTGCTTTGAGCAACAATAGATGCAGAACTCCTTGCGACTTAAGCAAGCAAGCGCGCGTCTACGTAAATGACAAAATTAAACTTGTTTGCTAGTTCAGCGTCAACTTAGCCTGAAAACAATGAGATCGGAACATTTTCTCATTTCTGCCATCATCAGAGTCACACTTCTTCTTAGCAGAACGTTAAGTTTTTTAGCTTCAAAGAGCTAGTTGATGCAGTTTGTGACAAATGAAATGTCGAAGGGCTTCATGTCTTAAAGTGGATAACCCACAAAAACATTTACATTTACATTTTAAGTTCAGAGGTGTTTTGTATGTCAACTATGAAAACTTTTGCTCGATAACATTCAGTCAAAATGTGATGCAGTTACAAGGCAGTATTAAAACCAATATTGTTCCAGAAATTTACATAATGTAGAGCTGTATATTTTCACAAGACAGGTTATAGCTATTTGCAAAATTAAATGCGGGAATTTTTTCCAATTTTATTTTTCCTTTACGTTATCAACAGCTTTGCATTTTGCTATTTCCTGCGGAAAATGAGAGATATTTTTTTCTTTATCACAACAGCGGTGGTGATCGTTGAACAATGCAAATCTTATCCATTTATTTTGAACAACAAGAGAAGGTTAATGAAAACATTTTCTCCAGGTTGAAAGGTCGGCTTCTAAAGAGAACCTAAGAAAGCCTTCCACATTTCAATCGAATGTCGGCCCGAACGACATTTCCACCTCCAGGCTATACACCGGCTAAAAATTGAATTTAATTAAGACCGAAATATGAATTAAGAATATAGAACTTTTGTTTCTCGGCTAGGAGAACCAGCTCTCTAACGCTGCGTAAATGGTTTTAAAAAAAGAAAAGCGCTCAAGGTAATTAGTGGGGAAAATGATAAAATAACATTTTTTAGCCGGACAATAGACACGTGGAAAGAAAAAATAGTTTTGCTACAAGTCAGGCAGAGAACCTTGTAACTAGGCAATGTTTTTGAAGAAGAAACTAATAAAAAATTGTCTATTCAACTGAGTCAAATTTTATTGGTTTTTACTCAGGAGCGCCTCGCCAATAAAAAGGAACTAATCGCACTGTTTCATGCCTATCCTACTAGCTACGATTATGTCTTTTTCTTCGTCAGATAATAATTAAATTGGATCACGTTTCAATATAGACCGTTACAGATGTTCCCTGCTAAAAGACAACTCAACTTTTGATTCTTAACAATTTCGTCTGAACGGTCAATCTTTTGATATTTAGGTGATTCGAAATCTTGTGCGAATAGTGTTAATTCATGTCGTCCACTTCACGGTTGTACAATTAAGTTTCCGCTTTCAATAAGTCAGAAACACAAATGCAAATTGAAATTCATGTTCAAAGTAACTAAACAACAACTACAATGCTTATTCATCGCACGAATCCTCTATTTAACGAGATTCACTAAAATGCATCTTGTTTAAAGGAGAATAAAATAAACTATAAACGTCATCTTAGGGCGTCGAAATTTGAGGCAAAATTCGCAATTGCAATAGTATTCTTCCATCTGTGGTAAAATTTCGCTTTTATTTTACAACGACAAAAATTTATATGATATAAAGCGCTTTTCTTATAGAATTGCGCCTTCGACTTTCTCTCTTAAAAAAATCATTTGCCTTTGCTCTCGACAGATGCCCCTCTAGTTGCTTAATAGATTTTGTATCGCTGGTTGTTTCACCTCGGATATTTCATAACCAGCGCGCGTAAACGAGCTTCCATGCATGTGGACATAACAGGTGGCAACGCAGAAATATAAACTGAAACTTTTCCATGTAATTGTTGTATCGATGTTCATTTTTGTCGACCTTGTAAAGTAATTTTATTCATTCATTATTGATGATTGGAAAAAGCGAACTGAGGCACAGTCTGGATTGAAGTCAAGCCCACAGAAAAAAAAATCAAAGTTTAATTTTTTGCCCTGGTGATTGTTGTTTTCAGGAAAGAAGCTTCTTTCGCCTCTAGCTATTCCCACTGTATTCCTTACGTTTCTGATTATCCATGTATTATGTTATCCATAATTGGATATTACAACACATCTGCCTTCGATCCTTTTATTTTATTTCATGGAGGGTTTCTATTCTTAAAATTGTTATAAATGAAGAAGTTACAGTTCGCTTGGAATCGGCTGAACACTTCGTTTTTGAGAGCCTTTCCTTCTAATGACACTTCTATGTGTCATTGAAGGATCCTTCACCGAATTCATTACATATTGCAGTCGACAAAACGACGATATAAAGTTGAAATGTGGTTAAGTTTGCAGTATAAAAAATGCCTAAATAAAAAAGATAAAGCAAGCTAAAAACACGACTGCTGATAACTTCGGGCGCTTAAAGTCGCTTTATGTTTTGAATTTACTCCCAGTGTAGCTTTTCAGTTAAACGGAATCGCCTTCTTCGGAGGCCGAGTTTGCTTCTTGAATTATTATTTTCGGTTTCGTACCGTTTTGACACTCGCTCTGAAAAAAAGTCACGACAGAAATGTCTTCATCGCCCGCAGAGGACCTATGTCCAGACCTGTCCCATCTGCGTATAGTACACGCATGAAGGAAGATATCCTTGAAGGCAGTTCTAAAATCGCTGTTGAAACTCGAGTAGATAATGGGATTTACAGCAGAGTTAAGTAACGGCAGAACCCACGCGAATACTATCGCGACAAATTGTCTTCCGTATGAGTGAATATTATCGAGGCAGTTCGGGCAAAATTGTACCACAAACATTATGATGAAGAATGGGAGCCAACACACAATAAAAGTCCCGATCACAATCGCAAGTGTCTTGGTGGCCTTTAACTCACGCACAATCGATTTCCGCCGTTTGCGTTCCGTACGTCCGATGCTGACTAAGCTTGGCCGCGGATCACGGCTGACATCAGTTTCAGATAATTCGGCGGGTTCCATTGCGCTTGAGGTTAGAAGCTGAAGCTTTTTAGCATGCGTAAATGCGACTCTGAACACCATTGAGTAGTTGATGACGAGAATTATCAGAGGCAGAAAAAAGCCTGCAGTTATGGCAAAAACATAGTAGTATTTGTCAAATTTCACGCACTCTACTTTCGCTATTGTCCCAGCGCCTGGGGACCAGTTTATGAACGAGAGTGCGGCGATAACTCCGGAATATCCCCACACGAACGCAATTGCGCCAACCCCTCTACGCTTAGTCATGATGTCCCTGTAACTCAGAGGAAAAGAAAGCGCTAGAATGCGATCAATTGAAATCAGACTCAAATTCGTGATCGAAGCACAGGAGCAGAGAAGATCTGCGAACACCCAGACTTTACAAACTGTGATACCGAGATCCCAGCACAGAGAATTCAGAGTGTGATGGATGCGAAACGGCATCGACAACATCGCGATGAGGAGATCCGACACGGCCAACGAAATGATGAAATAGTTTGTGATAGTGCGAAGCCGACGATGGCGTAGAATTGCTCCGATCACCAGACAGTTACCGCATACATCAAGAATGAGGATGAATATAACAAAACTCGCCTGAGCGATCATGTTTGTTAGCCCAAATTCTTGTGTTTTATTGCCACAAACCGCCGAGCTCGACTCATTCATCTTCACGACCGATTCGCACACCAGGCCTTCTTGCACTGCTTGAATTAAGAACCAAGCTAAGCGTCACTCGCGCGCTGAAATACACGCGCACTAAGCGAAGTCTGTCACCAAGTGACCTAGAATGTGGGTTGACAGGGCTCTTTAAACTTGTCTGGTAGTGTGACATCTGTTTTGTGATTTGCCTACTCTATGAATATGTCTATTAATTAGTCAATTTCTGAATTTTGCATTCATGCCTTTATTTGGCAAAAAAATTCTGAAAATGTTAAGTTCTTTATGAGTGTTTAAAATGCATATTGTAGTGTTTTAAGTTTAATATGTCAAGAAAAATGTGTTTCGTCGAAATTTAAATTTCTGATACGCGCCATCGAAAACATAGAGTGTAAATTTGGCACGTTTCCCTAACCTAATGATCTTGTCGATTAAGATAAAAACCGACCAAAAGTGTGTGGAATTTGTTACCTATCGCAATTTCTAATTAACAACAACAAACAGCTAATGTTGTTTTGTAGCCTACTAGCATATAGGCTTTGTGGGAACCGCCAAGGTAATTGTTTTGGGAGAAATCTTTCGCCCCGCTGTCGCTAAACATCCAATAGGCGGGGTATACCATATATTTTCTAAGTTCTTTCTAGTTCTTGATGGTTTATTGCTGAGGAAAACAAAGAAAACGATGACAAAAGGGAAAACTTGGGGAAAAGAGCCGCTATGCTAAGAAGACTTTTTGAGGCGTTTCGATTCGGCTTCGTAAATGGATTCATATTCGCTCGGCCGCATCATAAATTGTGGTCGGCTTTGCCGGCAGACGGAGGAAATTGTCGTGCCGCGGAAATATACTGTTTGTTTTAGCGGTGTTGTGGTTCCTTACAATAACAAATTTCTGTTATCCAAATACAGAGCTATGAAAGGTGTCGCAATTTAGCTGCTTCATCGAATTCATAGTTATTTGTCAAAGAAGGCCGGGATGAAAATCGCAAAACTCACATAAGATCAGATAATAACGATAAGTAAGATTTTAACATGGATGTAAAGAATTGCACATTCCTGATGACTGATCGATGCTTTTATCGGCTATCTTTTTTAAACAACGGTGGATGATGCCAAATTTTCATCTTTTTAATACACGACCAAGTTGCAAATAAAAATGAATGCTTTTGGCGAATAAATTCACTTAGGTTTTTTTATCCGCGCCATATCAACAAACGAACAATTCAAAATTGCAGTATCCTTTACATGACTTTCCAGTGTGTTTGTCGAAGTTCTCTGTGCTTTTGGAAGAATAAATTTTATTCGCATTTTTGGCTTCATCAAATAAAATGGCGTCCAATCCTTATAAAGCTTACGATAGCTTCCAGAGCCTTCCGTCTACAATCCAGATGTCAGTCGATCCCGCGTCTGTTCAGTTCATTTAATAGTAGCATATTTTTCCTCTACTTAGCTCCATCTTATTTTAAAGGCCCTCCTCTATCAATTACAACTTCAAGTCGGCTTAAATTTGTTATCTTTAAAATTCAGAAAAAAAAATTAGTTTAATTATTACTAAGACAGTGGAAATTTGCCGATCAGTCTCTTGTCTGACAAAAATTGTGATCGAAATATTGCCACCGGGTTGAATATTTGCTTCCCTCGCTGCAACTTCTTCAAAAAAAAAAAGACTTTAAACTGAGTTGTGCTTTCCAAATCTTCAGATATCTTAAAGAGCTGAATAGATAGAAACAATAATAATAATAATAATAAATTTAAATTACAGATTTTGGATTTTGGTGGTCTTTCTAATTCTAACATTCAAGCTTTTTCAAACGCAAACTTCAATATAGCATCTGTTTGGTTTAAGAAATTCGGTTTATTATCACGCATCGAATAAGCCGCTCATAGTAACCTCTTTTCTTGGTGGGGGGTCCGAAGCAATCTGCTGCAATTTCGTGGGTTGGCGACTCTCGATGGATGATAATTCACGAAAAGCTGATTGCTAGTATAGAGCGGTTTTCACTTGACTGTCGAAAGGGATTGGTTTGGTTTTGGTTTTGGTTTTACTACGCCCTTTGGTTGGCTAGTGTATTTACGTTGGTTTTGGTTTTACGACAGTCAAGTGAAAACCGCTCTATAAAGAGCTTTCCAGACAAACAAGCAAATGTTTCGCTATACAATGAAGTGACTGCGGGAGTGATAATCGTGGCTGATATCGGGTGCATTTTCTCAGCTTTCATCACTGGGCTCAGAATACTAGTGTTTGGCACTCCTGCTGGTAGGCAAAACTAGATACTGAAGTTCTTAAACGTTGACTACCAATTAAGATTGCAGCCTTAAATCAACCGCTAACTATAGCGATCCTTTTTCATTTATCTGGAAACGCTTCGTTCAGAAATTGGAAAATGAGATTAAGGGCGAGTCGAAATTCTAATCACGAATATTGTTTCCAATTTTTTTCAATATGTGCTGTCATATTCACGATAATTCTGCTCATAGCTCCGTCAGGATTGAATAAATAAATAGTTGCCTTGACTAAAATCATATAGACAATATTCGCTCGCAACGTGGTTTCTATTCCAACGGACTAAAACCAAAACAACGAGTGTTTTAATTCCATGCCGTATGTTTGTTTTCTATATTTTCACCATGGAAAGAAAATATATAAGTATCCAAAGTAAATGTCGTAGATAGCTTTGTTGTTGCCCTGTTTGAGACCTATTTGTTACTGTAAAATTGCGCACAACTTTCTCGTTTGGCGTCGGTTCTTGTAAAAAACGCAGAGAAAAAGAGATGCTAATTCACAGCCACAAGCAATTTAGTATAATGTCCTGACGAACGTATGCTGCTTTCAGCCAGCTAAATTTATTGGTATAAGAGTTACAATTGCAAAATTTAATAAACAGTACTAAAAATCGGCCTTCTAAGGCGTGAAGTATGGCTTATTTTTACAATTTTCAGGAGACAGGTGATATAATATTTTAATATATATCTTATAAAAATGACGAAAATATTTGACCAAGAATGCATAGAAAACGGAAACTTTCCAGCGCAGATACTTGGGCTGATTGATGAATAATTGCTCCGGGGTGTAAAAATGATGTGTTCATATGAAGTACCGGTACATAAAAACGAACAAATTCCCTAATGATCGGGACGTTGAATACCATTAGAAGAGTTACAAGGGAGAAAAGCAACCTTTCCCACTCTCCCAATGGCATTTAAGTGTCATCACTCGGGTTGACAGGCCTCGAATATTATATTAAATAATAATTAGGGGGAGTGCGAAGCCAGTAGAACTCATCATAGTCGATATGACTGCGTGATTCAGGCGGCCCGCCATTCGACTGGTGAATCGTGCCGGACCGTTTAGACGACACAGAGACCGAAATCCATCGATTATGCGGAGAACGCGGTACTTGAAAACTCTTACAGACCTTTACACTGCGGTTTTATTAAAATGTAATGCTTCATGTTGTTCTACCGACACCTATTTTTTCTGAGAATAAACCTTGGAGTAATTGGTAACATCAGGCCGACCGTTCTCTTACCACAGATAAAAAAAGAAGAAAATACAATGAGTATCACTGTTTATCTTCCATGAACAAGACAAAAAACATTGTTTTAAATTCAGTTTATTCGTTTCACTTACACTCTTTTGACAGGAGTGACGCTTTGAAAAATAGCTGCCTATAAGAGACCCATCCTTTTTGGAGGTAGTTACTTTGGGTCAATAACTATACTTTCAAGGATTAAAACCTGCGTTGAATCTTTCAGAAATCAATTCAAATTAAATAACGACAGTAGCTTGAAAAAATATATACATCCAGCGATGCACGCGTGTAACGCGGTGTAAATAGCTGAACAAACACAACTTGGCCAAGATGAGTTTGAACATGATTCCGGCCAAATTTAAATGGAAACAGAAGACTCTAGAGCTACTGCCCAGGTGATACCAGCTCATTAGAGTGTTGGCACGAGTAGTCACCATAGAGATGCTTTTTCCTTAAATGCTCTGTTATGGGTGTTATGGGTGGGTGGTCCATTTCATGAAGTTCACAACGATATGCCATATTTACTCGATCGTTTTTCGACCCCTAAAGACAAAGTTTATTTACTTTTGCAAAGAAGAAGAAGAAGAAGACAGCAGCCATTTGGTAAGACCAGAAGGTGAAAAATAAATGAATAAATAATTCATTTATAAACATTTTAAGGTCATCATTGCCAGGTTAGAATAAACGCTATTTTAAGACCAGAATGCAATGAATGAAAACGTTTTGAATTTGTGTTCCCCCTTTTCGCAAAAATCCTTTAGTGTTCTTTTTTTGCACAAAAATTGAAGTTTTACATTGACACTCTTTATTGGGTTCACTCTATAGTCGCATACCAAAATTGACCATTTTGTTAGGGTCTCTCTTACAAGCAAGACAACCTTCATGTAGGACATGTAGGACAGGACAAGAAAACTATAGTTAAAGAATAATCCAGTGTAAATTCTGGTTGAAAACTTGAGTGCACGTTTTCTGTGGTTAACAATGACTTATTAATAATGAGAATTGGTTACCGACTTTTTGGCACGGTATCTAACGTTGCTAGAATTTAGCTACATCAGTCGCTATTGAACTGCAAATTAACCATAACCACGAAGATGATAGATGACTGGAGTCCAATACGTTAACAAAAACGTCAAAGCAAGGAGTTAACCCATATCGTGTTACTGTATGTCGTGGACGAATCTGAATCTGAGTTCGTGATCGGTCATTCTTCATAATACGTATATTTCTTCTGATGTTTGCAACTACTCCTCTTGCGAAAAATTTCAAGAGTGTTAGATGTAATACGGTAGAAAGTTTCTTATGGATGGTTTGTTTTAGGAACTCATTAAGGGAATAGTTTGATGATTTATTATAAAAACGACAACAACTCGAAAACAACATGTGGGCTACTACTTGGCAAGATTCCATTTTTTGACAAAGATATTGCCCTGAAACAAATAAGAACCAGAAAGCCGGATGCTTCGCTGCGATCGATCGATACGGCGCCCGAGAAGATTACGGCACGGCTTAGTCCGTTTTATTTGGTAATGAAGTTCACTTGTGACCAAAATCCACAGAATGCATGCTATGTTAATCTAGCTAAATTGCATTGCTCTTGTTACCAAGGATAGAATAAACCACTGTTTTATATATTTACTGAGCTGGTATTAAGGGGAAATGCCGGAATAGTTAAGTTTTAAATGAAAAGACGCATGTTTATAGTCCTTACGTGCCAGTTTCTAGAAAAACAGGCACGCGCGCATACAAAAGTCTATAATGGATAATTTGCCATGTTTAGAAGTGACAAAATATGCAACGGAAATCTTTTAAAAGTTTCTCCTTTACCCAACTTATAGAAAAATAGAATGTCATAGAAATTTATCTCTTCGGCGGGAAATGCTTCTAATAATTGTGTGGACAACGTACTGGCAGCAAATCGTCGCTGAAGTTAAAAGAAAGAATGAGAGGGGTGGCGAATGGTAAAATCCGAGACTCGCCGAGACACCGAGATCCTAGTTGGAAATCCGAGCCCGAGACTCTTTGGTAAAAATTTTCGAGACTCAAAAAAAGTAAAAACAAACCATGCAAACGAGACTTCGAGACTTATAAAAAACTCTTCCGAGATTTCGATATCCTGCCAAAATTTTCAGAGACCCACGTTTTTCGAGGTACCATTCGCCACCCCTAATGAGTTTGTGGAATGGCATGCCATACGACTTGAAAAATGGCATAATTTTGCGGGATGCAATATATGTAGAATGATTTAAAATTTTCAAAAGCCAGAATCCTGAATTTAAAATTTTGGATGGCCGAACCGTTCTGAATTCAAGACTTTTGTTTCCCAAAGGCCTGAATTCAAAATTTTGGAATGCCAGAACTCCTGAATTCAAGATTTCGGATTGCAAAAATTCACAGTTCAAGATTTTGGATCGCCAAGTTCTCAGTTGAAGATTTTGGATCGCCAAAATTCTCGTTCAAGATTTTGGATCGCTAAAATCTTGGATTCAAGATCATGCTAGCATCCGTCATGAATTTACTGAGAATTTGGAAGACTGGTGACAGCTGACAGACACTGCTCCCTTAATTAAATTTCTTACGCATTCGGAATTTCCTTAGCTATTTTTAAAGTACAAAATAAAAAAATTAAGATCGATAACCGTTGGATCCCAAGCTAAGTCCGAAATGCTTTTTTAAATCGACTCATTCGACTATAAACTCATGGCAGAGTGTTTATAACGAATTTTCTTTATTTACATACTGTCTTTTCTTTGAGTTCTTTTTTTCCATCAAGTTTGACGCAAAACTTCAGATGAGACTGAATGCTCTTAACTAGGCGAGATTAAGGTAATATTTTTCCAACAGGTTGTTTGCAAAGTCATTTTCCTGCATCAGTTTCCTCCCAGCCACGAGCCCACGTAAGCAACCAGCGGATAGTTTGAAAAATGTTAGAAGCCTGGTCACTAGTTTGGTTTTCAAAATGGCAGGCAGAAATGTTTCGTTTTCGAAGCCCAAAACTCCCTCTTTTATAGCAAAATTTAAGGAAAAGGTTGGCTATCAGGAATCCGCCACAGTTGAAACGAAATTCCAAGAGACTGAGACGTGTAATTTAGATAACAGAGAGCACGAAGACGAAAAACCGACCGTAGTTTTGGGATCAAATGTCAGCGAAGCCGAAGCTAACGCGTTCCTAGATCGTTTGAAGGAAGATGAGGCCGACTCGCAAGGTTTGTAACGAATCTCAATCATCATATAAATTAGCTTTCAACTTTCGAAATCTCAGTGTTCATCCTCCACGCAAGTATTTAAAAAGTGCCTCGAAAGCTAAAATCTCTGAGCATGAAATTTCCCTTGTGTTTCCACTGACTCATCCCCGGTCGTCTCTCTCTGTCTGGCTCTCTGTCTCCTCCTTAGTGGCGCGAGGGGTACCCCCTGCTCCCGCCGCGCGCGTTACGCGAAGACGACTGGGTACAAGTCAGGTGTTTCCATACTAACTCTTTTGAAACATTATGTACCACTCAAGTCCAAAATCGCCCACCCCCCCCAACCCCGAGCATAGCACGGACATTTGACTGCGTTTTTATTCGTACAGTAGGGACTTTGACCCAAAATGAGGCCCGCCCAGTCACACATGTGACTTTCGTGTCAAAACGCCAGTCAGCGTCTCAAGCCAACGGATTTTGTGATTATTTCATTCAGCATGTGTACCGCGTTCATGGGTTATTTCTCCTATATTCACTGTTTTGTTGGAGCATTTGAGAGTCTTTCAAAAAGCCTGCTAAATGTGGGCTTTGTGGAATGAACAATTTTATTCAAATGAACAAACCTCCGTAAGACAGCTTTCCGAGATTTGAGATATTTCAGTTGTATTTATTAGGATATTTACATTTGAATAAATGTTTTGACATGTGGGAAAAATTTAAATAGTCACTGGTGGGTAGTGGGAAGTGCTAGCCAGTGGGGCATTTGACCATCTCAACTGCCAACATACCAGGGAATTTGACCAAATTTTTTCAAAAAAAGGTCAAAGGCCCCGGGGTCTGCCTGGGAAGGGGTGGGGGAGCATGGGCAGTTTTGGAATTGACAGGTACATAACACTGTTTTAACAGCTTTCAGGGGACCGTAACAAAAGCCTTTTTCATACTGGAGACACATTAGCAAGTTTAAGCTACTTCAACACTGACATCCAAAAATTGAAAGAAAGAGTTTCATATATTATTCTCTTTGATAGTTTTGCAATGCCAATGAAAGAACTGAAAATATCATTTTAATGATTATTAGATGCTGAGAAAAAAGATAATGTAGAAGAAGGTGGGAAAATTCTCTTTAAGAAGCCAACCAAGAGAAAATCAAGTGGCTTGAATTCCAAAGGTGACAGAAAGAAGTCAAAACCATCCAGTTCCATGAAGAACGTCAAGAATAAGAGCCTTTTGTCATTTAATGAAGAAGAAGATGGAGATTTATAATGATTATTCTGGGTATTTTGAATAATTTGCTACTGTCTCCTATCATCATTGTCATCACTGGCAAACATTAGCAAGAGAGCACACTTTCCTTTGTATTGTTGGTTTGCAGCTGACATCATGATGGCCATGTCGGTTGACAAGAACAAATTTGAAAGTATTTCCCTTGGGTGAAATGCAGATTCTACAAAATAACCAACATGACCGGGGGTGGGGGGAGGGGGAACTCATCAAAGTATTATTCGGGGAGGCTCTACCCCAAAGTCCAACTTCTTACCCCTTTATATACCATTTTGGACAGAAAAGGTACCCCTTTCATAAACCTTCTATTGACACTTAACTGTTTTAAATGCACTGTCATTAAAATATGAATAAATCACAAAACCAGAAGGTTTTCTCAACTTTTTCACAGCCATAATATACATGTATCAGCCCTTTTAGGCCAATTTACCAACCAAAATACCCCACCCTACCCTTACCTTTGCATATAATTCAAAGTGGACAGACTGCAAATCATATTAGGTGCTAAAAAATATATATCTACGTGTCGCAACTGTTCATCAGTAGGATGCCTAAAATGCGTGCAATTCCACAATTGGTTTCGGCTTCATTAACTGAGTCCTGAAAAAGGTACCCCTTTTGGGTGGAGCCTCCCGTATAGGCCATTATAGGGAGTACCCCCCCCCCCTCCCCGGGGGCAACGTGGGGGCCAATTTCTGCCACTCTGTTGGGTCCGGCTTTGTTCCTTTGCTCCAAGGAGAGAGAGGGGTTCATTTCCCGAACATCGGCTGTTAAACAAACCTACCAACATGGTCACCTTGTCATGTGGTTGCAACGACAGTAGATAAAATCCACGGTTTTAAAGGATGTATGGTTGTATTTATGAGCAGTCCAAGAAACGTGTTGTAGTCAATTTTTTATCTCAGGTAGTTTTTATTTTTCCTTTGTGTCAACTTCATTAGAATACATAACCATACCAAAAAAAACAAAAGAAAAACAACAATTACCTTAGATAAAAATTTAACTACAACATATACAGTGTATGACGTCTGCTAACACTTTGCACGTCGAAGTCCTTTTGCGGCGTTCCGAATTTTCCTTGCTTCGTGTCTCTATACCCTTCTGGTGATAGTTGTATAATATTTAAGACTCAATAGGAGTTTTTTTAGGACGTATCTACTCAATACGCATGGAAAAGTTTGTACATACAAAAGTAGAGAATTGGGTGTCTCGCTACGCTGAAAACGGTCTCTTTAAGAACAGTACATATGTAACTGGTTTTTGTCTGCCGCGTAGCCAGCTATTTCTGTTTTCCAGAACTTCTTCATGTTTCATAACCTGAGATCAGGCTCTATTTTCGTTTCACTTTGAAAATAACTTTCCGGCGTGCAAGGCGAAACGAAAATCGCGAGAGAGTTTGTATTAGGCCCAATTTTAGCGGTAGCCGTTAGAGAGAATGAATGAGAACCGCTAAAATTGGGCCTGATGTCAGGTTACAGGTTTCAACGCCAAACAACAATCAATTTGAAATTAAAACTTTAGTCATAGTCATCACTTTTTGTCATCATCATCACTCATTTCCATAATTGGCAGTGAATTGGTTTTACGTTTATGACGAACCTCATTGACATGTGCGTACTAAGTAATGCGTTGAAAACCAAACACGTCATAGCCTGCGTAGCAGGCGCTTGGAAGTAGTGGGCACAAGAAAAAAAGAGCCGCGCGACAAGGAGATCCGCGAGGGCTCCGTCACCCCTCGCGTGCCTCCCTCGCGCGCGCCCGTTCTATCTTTCGCCCACTACTTCCAAGCGCCTGCTACGCAGGCTAAACACGCCAGTACCATTGTAATAAAAGACAACGATTTCCTTCTTTTACCTATGGCTGTTTTGATATCATATCAACTGTCGAGAACTGAAAGAAAAAATTTCGCAAGCGAGAGACCGTAATCGCTGGCAAGTGTCCTAAATAACACAGAAAAATTCAAGATAAAGACGTAGGCATGAAAAATTAGAATTATCTACAATGCTTGAGCCGACAAAATTCTGCGAAAACTAGTGATTCAGAGAGGGTTTAAAAGATGAGCTCTGAGCAAGATCTTGACAAAAATCGTCACTAACTCGGTTCAAACCAAACTACCCTCGACTCAGCGGGATACCATTGTTTCTGTTTTTACCGGAGGCATAAGTTGAAACAGAATAGAAATTTTTTCACTGAAACTGAAATTGCAATTATTACTTAAACAGGAGCTGGCAGAATTTAATTAAAAACGTTATAACTACCGGCAATTGTTGTATATAATTTACTTCGGTCCTTGTTCTTTTTTCGTTCTACAATTGCGAAGTTTTATTCAGCAAAATGAATAGCAGTACTCTGTTAGAGTTTTTTGGGCATGTTCTGTTCAGTTTTACCCGAAGCGTAACAGATCATTGTAACCCCGAAGAGCCGGAATACACCGCGGAGTCCTTTGGTTATAATCCTCTAGAAAGCACGGGCAGAGAATGGTACTCTCGTCCAGTTGATGAGTTCATTTACCAGGAATACAGTGACAGAGAACTTCGAACAAGCTTCAACTATATGGCGACCAGCAGTCTTAATATAAATGTAAGAGATGCGTGCTCTCTGGAGGAACCTGAAAACGACGAAGCAGCGCGGAAAGAAGAGGAGCTTAGAGACGCAGCATTAGCTTGGAAGCGACTTCGTCCATCAGTTTGTCACACGATTTGGAAATCAATGTACATTGGCGCCTTGATTTCGCTGGTTGCCGCTACCATTGTAGGTGCAGTGTGTACTGTAGTTTTCTACGTCAGTTTTATGACTATTAACATTTGCCAGTTTTATCCAAAGAAATTAATTCCAGTACGTTTGCAGTGGATGAGAACAATTTCGTGTTCGATTGCTTATGCTTCCTTTCACATTTGGTTCTTTATAAACGCGCTGTTTCTTTTTCGTTCATACCAGCTCAAAGGGGTGAGACAAAAACTGTTTTTGCCTTGCTGCGTGGCTTATTCGCTTGATGTGGCATATCGAGTGATACTTCAGGCCCTCGGGATGTCCAATTATTCAAAACTTTCTTCTTTGCAAAAAATTCCACTTAATGTTAACTTTTTCATCAGTGTTGGAGTTCAAGCTTACGTTTTAACGAAGCTGTTCTGTCGGTTGCCTTCAAAAAAACGTAAGGTGAATTTATTTCTGCAAATAAATTTGCCAGGGTGTCTTACTGTTTTTGCTGGAATTGTGATCGCTCGTTGCATCTACCCTTGGTATAACAAGCAAGACAAGGATGGAAAACTTTTAATCGCAGTCTTTGCTCCTCTTATTGGTGTTTTCCTCAAACCGTTCTCGCGAATTTGTGCTCAACAGTTATATAACGTAGCCCATCCGGGATATGCTTATGTACTTTTAACTCCACTGTATTGTGGAACGGCGGTCATGTTTCGAATTATGCAAGCCGACCTTGGTAGTTTGCAGTCGATTGCCACTCTTGGAATCATCCACGGCCTTGCTGAAGTCATAGAACGAAGTTCTATGGTTATCATTGATCATTTCTTGAATTGGCTTTGGAAATTAAGAACACCAGCCCCCTGGGGAAGTTTTCGCACTCCCCGCCGAGAGAGACTAATGGCAGATATCGCCATCATGAGCATGCAGTACGAGTCAGCGGCAATCGTGTCTGTAAACGGACTTTTGTTCTTTTATCAACTTACCTACTTTGATAAGAACTCTTTTCTAACTTCGTTGCAGTCTTTTGGCATCAACACTTCAGTTCCTTTGATAATCGAGTGGTTTTTCAACAGCGTATCTCTGGCAATAGAAACTAGGTGTCAAAATATGGCTGTGATGGCAGTCTGGGCGAGACAGTGGAAGAAACATCTCCTTGTAGCGGTGTTTAATTCAGCGCTCATAGCTTTGTGGACTAGCACAAACTTACTAGAAGTTGTCTATCAAAATGAACAATTGTCCGACCAGGTGAACTTAAATCAAACTTGTAAAATGCCTTTTACATGAGCTGCTAGCTATCGGTGACTGAAGAAATGCTATCCGGATTTACCTATGGTACTTATTGGACCGCCTGAGGGTGGTTAGACTGCGAGCAATCTCGCTTTTTTCTTGGTCCGTCTAGCAAAACGCGCTAGACACGCAAATGACCACGTGCGCGACTCAAAGGGGCGAGACGGGAGATGCTTCCCTCGTTTCTCGCTCGACGCTCGCGAGCGTGAACTCCTCTCACTAAAACTGAAGAAAAATAAAGACTGTTCGCAGTCTAGAGGGTAGAGGTGGCGTGTACTGTACGCCGCTAATCTTGTTGCTATCTACGTCGCTCTAGTACGTTCCGTGATAGAGTATTGTGTGGTTTGGCATAACGCCCTTCCCGCCTATCGGTCTAGTGAATAGCGAGTCCAAATGCGAGCTTTAAGGATAATATACCCCCCGGTCTCCATACCAGGAAGCCTCACTACTGTATGAAAAAATTGAAATCTAGAAGCCTCTGGAATACCATAAGGATTTTATAACGTTTTTCTTCAGGTAAAATTGGTCACACTATGATAAAAAATGGCGCCTAATAGACCTTTTTACCGATACGGCGGCCATATTAAATTAATTCGATTTAAGGAGTATTATGGGATGCCCAGGAGGCATAAGAACATTTCGTTTGTATTTTCGAGTGCTTTTCGGGACATTTTTTCTTTCTTAGAATAAGATTGTAATGGGAAAAAAGATCCTCGTGCCGTGTTTGGTTTCCCTAGAAATATACAGTGAAAGACCGTATTTCTAATACTAAACTAGAAAAAGGCGATCATTATTACATCCAAACACAGCACAAGGATCTCTTTTCCCATTACTATCTTATTCTAAGAAAACTTAAAGAAAAAATGTTCCGAAAAGCGCCTGAAAATACAAAAGAAATGTGCTCATGCCCCCCGGGCATCCTATAATATTCCTTAAATCGAATTAATTCAATAATGCCGCCGTATCGGTAAAAAGGTCTATTGTTTATTCGGATCATCATTAATATATTCTAGGTATTGTCACAAATACATGTTGTTCCCATTGTCCCCGCCAATTCCATGTCAGAAACCTGGTTCCCATATTAAACTTTAGTATCCAGGCGTCTGCACATTGTCCATGTTCTACGTAGTGGTGGCGTCAATACTGCTTATCCTGTTGCTATCTATGTCGCTCCTAGTACATTCTGTCCTAGAGTGTTGTTGCGAGCTTTAAGGATAATAGAGAGCTTTAGCAACGACGAAGCGAAGGCGACGGCAACCAGGACTTCAAAAAAGCAATAGGTTTATTACCCAAAACAAGTACATTCTGTCCTACGAGAAAATGTTGTTTTATTAAACAAGCGACGACGAATTTCTTTTTCTTTTTAAAAGTGCGGTCGGATAATATCTTGCCATTTTCAGCAAATTTGAATAAACGCGACAAAGATTGAAAAAACGGGAATTCATTTTAAAACTGACGTTTTCGCTGCCGTTGCCGTCGTCGATGCTTAAAGCTCCCTAATATCTTCATATATACGAGGAAGCCTAACGACTTGCTAAAATCGCTAGACTTGAGGACATGCAGGCGCGATGAAATCTGTATGAGGACTTTTGAAAAAATTACAAGAGGCGGGCCCTTGTTAAAGCATCTCCCAGGACTATTTCCTTTCGAAATTCTATCTCTTGGACGTCTGAGCGTTTTAGGCAAAGCTTCTACACTAACACTACCCTAATGGCAAACGCATCATCCTTTAAAAGTTAAATATAATTCTTATAATTAGTCTACGATTTGTACTTACTAGGTTAGTATAACTATGATTGAACCTCAGCTTATTTTTGTGTAGTAGGTTTCAATATTTTTAATTTATTATATTATTATATTATTACTCCAGTCCCAGTAAGGTTTTTGTAATTTTTCTACATATTGTATAGCCTGAAATTCATCCGATTGCTTCGAGTCGTTTTCTCCTCTCAACAACTCGAAGTAATCGGATGCAATTCAGGCTACATATTGTAAACGCATTGTAATTCATTTTTAATGCGAGAATGTGGTGATCCAACATCTTTATTTTATGAATGACAGCGTAAAATATACTACAATGCCGGTTTTTAATGTGTAAAAATTCATGCATAAATATTCTCCACTGTTCTCAGTACATTTCTTAATGGTACTGGTATACAAAGGAGAAGTTTGTGGTTGACTTATCCCTCAGTTATTTCCTTCGTTTCTTTCTTTCGAGCGCCATCTTTTTGTTTCTTTGGTGGGTTCTGGGTTTCTTAAGGGACTTGTCAGAAATTAGCAGGGGGGAGGGGGTGGAAACAGAGGGAGGGTCACAACTTTTTGAGACTCAGAAAAGGGAGGGGTCATGAAAAATGGTCCGTTAAAAGGGCGAGGGTCATGCAAATATATGCCCATGATCATGTGGAGGTTCACCCACAGAAGAAAAAGAAAGTTCTTTATTTGGTAAAAAAAACCTGGGAGATATAGGAGAGTCAAGTGATCAGCTGTCATAATCAGAGTTGGACTCTTAATGCTGTCATCTAAAATGTATGCCATATAGCATTACGAAGAACAGATTAGAAATATATTTTGGGCTTTCATAATACCGACTAACCCTAGTGTATTGCAAGAACTAGATTTTATCATTTATACAAGGGGGGGAAGGTCATGATATTTTAGGCCACGCTCAAGGGGAGGGTTAGAAAATTTCACTCCCATTGCAGGGATGGGTCACCTCATTTCCAAACCCAATTTTCAAATTTCAAACCCCTTCCCCCCTCCTGCTAATTTTTCACAAGTCCCTAACAAGAATCCGATAAGGGATTATAAATTCTTGAGTCCACACTTAGCACCAATCAGATGATTCGATCTGAACCCGAATATCAATTACACTCCGGGATTCATGTCGTGAACGAAGAAAAAGCCTTGTATCGTCATGTGCTGGCGCATTATAAGTTCCGGGTTGCGTTGGTTATCCGTTTTTCAATCTCTTTTAACAGGGAAGTTGCTATAACAAGTTGAATTCTCGGTAAGCAAAAAACAGAGTTGGTATCCTGAGAAATAAAAATGAACAATCCGCCAATAAATAATGTTCCTTGCTTATTCCTTCCTGAATGAAAAGTTATGCCTCTGCTAGTTGCAATTTGAATAAACAAAAATTTATGCCGACCTTTACTAGTTGCAATTTGAATAAACAGTTTATACCTCTTTTGGATCTTCTAGGGGCTGAAAATGCGGTAATCCGTGAGCTGCAGATCTATGATAAATACTGGCCCATCTCCTAAACGAGCGCCGCAGGCGCAAGCTCCTAGGGGGTCCGGGGACATGCCATCCGTGTAATTATTTTAGATTTTAACTCCCTAAAGTCACCTTTCTAGGGTATCTGAGTCATCCAGGATATTGACCAGATCTTAATTTTTTTTCACCTCATGAAAACTCTGACCGATATCCGTAAAACGATAGAAACCGTTGTGGATCCTAATCGCATAAAAATATAGAGGGATAAAGAGTAGCCTGAGTATCAGGCGTTTCTGGGGAAAAGGGGAAAGATGGAAGCGAAAAAGGGAGAGAGCTCTTCTCCCCCTCCCCCTCCCCCATCTAAAATCTCCTCTCCCCTAGCCCCTTAGGAAGGCCTGAGGAAGAATACAATGAAGGTTTGCCTGTGCACTTACCTCCCTCCCTCCCACAAAAATGGCTTTGTCAGGAAGAGTAACCACGCTTCGTTTGCATTGCATCCGCGCCTTCTGTTTTTGTCTCCGCCATCTTCCTCATCAGTTGCATAAGACATTTATCAGCAAAATATTTCATGTGAACGTTTATAGGGTTCGGTTATTTTCCTGTTGTTGGTGACGCTAGTGTTATTTATGTTATGACAATCTACAAACCTGAAACAAGGAGCTAGTAGTGGTGGTGATGGCTTATAGGTTGTGTACCAGTGGAGTGAGTTCGTTGTTGAGCAGGACAAATTTAAGACTTGTGCACTCGCAGGTACGACTTTTCACTTGTTTGTAATCTAGGCTCATGTAGTTTAGACTTTATCCTAAGTTTTCGATCAGTACGTTTATTTATCCTTCATATACAATTATTCCTCAGTTCTTATAAAGCTCGTTGTGTTTGTAGATATTATTCATTTGTTTTGTCTATGTGCATTTTAGTTTGCGCGCTTCTCGCACGGCTCACGAGTTCTGCTGACTCAGAATGCAAGGAGTTCTTGGATGGTAGGAAGGATTCTCAATTTTGATCCTCCAAAGGGTAAATAATTAGCAATGATACCAATAACGTAAGAAAAACGTCTGATGTATTGTGATAGTGATTACATCATCCAGGCCCTAGTTGAACGCTATCCACCGGACAGATCACTATCCAGTGGATAGCGTAATTGGTTTCCCTAACATTTATCTGTTGGGTAGTGATTTATGTGGCGGATAGTGCTATCCAACTTTTGAACAACTGGGGCCAGGACGTTATGGGTAAATAATTTTGATAGTCGGTCAAAATCGATCGTTGTCGATAAAAGTCGATACTAATCAATTGACAGACATTTGAAATCAATTAAAGTCAATTATAAAATTCTGTGTGATTATACTACTACATGAGGAATTTCTGCAATTTGATTGGCTTAGAGCAGTGGTATTTCAGCTTAATTTGAAATACCTACATGTGAAAGTTACAAACCTTTTTGCGGGTAGTAGTATAAACAAATAATTGCATGATTTGTACGTGATATTCGGCATAAATACCACTGATGATATTTGAAAATTGTCTCAAATTTCACTTGCCTAACGGCTCGTGAAATTACGTATAACAGTTTTGAAATATCACTCGTGGTATTTATGCCAAATATCACTACAAATCATGCTATTACCTATACTTATGGATTTCTATCAAAAGTGGTGTTATTATCGTCTTTTAGTCGAAAACTATTGGTAGATAAAAAGGAGTAGAAGTGACAGTTTCAATATCCATTAGCAAGTTAATATGCGATCTAAAAGTTTTCCACCATATTAAATCAGATGAAGGACTTTTTTGAAAGTCTACTGATACTTGAGCTACATGTATTGCAACATTCAGTGGAATGGTTTTTATGTCTGTTTCTAAATAAGTAGCATACGTGTGCGTTCGAAGCCTTGTGACGTCTACATGTACACTGTAATTCCTTCTCCTTACACTGCATTCATGTACAGTTTGCATAAATCCTCAACAGATATACTCAGAAAAGTCTGAGAAGTTGATCGAAATTGATTACCTGTCCTGAGATCATTGTGATTATTTACTTTTATGGACAAATACAACTAATCAATCAACAGTTATTGACAAAATTGATATTGAGCACTAGCAACTAATCGACCTTCTTTCCAATGATTGATTTTGATCGACGTGTAACCTCCTGCATCATCTCCAGCCAACTGACATAATAGATATTAAAATACTAAACTGATCTTGTTCTGATCACATAAGCACTCGAATTCTTTATGTAAATCTTCATTTCAAGTTCTGGGGTTTACCTTTGTAAAAGGTGAACCTTGCAGTAAAATGTATAGCTAAACTTCAGAATGCCCAGCCACTTACAAAGTTCCTATTGTGTTATGCCTTGTTCATTCAAGGGTTTGACTAGTGGCCAGGAATTCTGAAATTGCTCTGTAGTTGTATCTCAAAGCCATGTGGTACTTATAGTCCTTCTTGCCATCAATTAATAAATTTCTCAATTATCCACTTTGTAGCCATATTCAGTTTGAAAATTTAATAAGAAATGGTAGAAAAAGCCTCAATTGGTCTCCATTCAAAGACAGCTATATCAGAGGACTGGTCAAAGTATTTTGTAGTGATGAAGTAGTGCTTTGATACTGAAATTATATTGACAACAAATGATAATATTACATGCGACACCTCTCCTCCATAAAATACCCCATTTAAAAAGTTGGGCTTGACCAAAATGACAATTTTTTAATGATTCTCTTATGGTTCTCTGTTAAAAATAAAAAAAAAACAACAACAACAACAACAACAAATACCTGGCCCTGGTTGTTCAAATGTTGGATAGCTCTATCAACCAGATAAATCATATTATCAAGTTGATAAGTACTAGTAATAACCAAAGGTTATGGAGTGCTGGCGACAATGATCAAAGGTCAAAACGCTTTTGTTCGAACGCTGTCCTTTGTATAAGTTTCATGTGACAGATAGTCAAAAGACACGTGGTCAGAATATGAGTGACAGAAGGTCCAAACCCTCGCGATCAAATTGGGTTCTGTACAGTCCATTAATTCTTGGTGGAAGTCCAAACAAATGCTGGCTACCTACTGTATGCGACACATGCGTAATAACAACCAGGCCCTGGTTGTTCAAATGTTGGATAGCACTATCCGCTGGATAATTGACTATCCAGCAGATAAGTATTAGGGAAACCAATTAAGCTATCCACTGACGAGTTGGTTTAATTTCTTCTAGGTTTTGAAAAGTTCTATCCAAAGTCCTCAAAGAAAACGTCTGATAAAGGTATTAGGGCTTTCATTCCTTTGGGAACTACGTGTATCAGGGATGCAACATATCAGATTAATTTTGTGGCTTTGTAGTTACAAGGTCGGGGGGACTGACATGTTGCATCAGCTAAACTAACAGGACTTTCATTGAAGTTTTAATTGCATACCTGGTCTTTCAGGGAAAGTAGCCAGTCATTAATTTGTCTTACTAATCCTCCTATATTTGTTTAAGTTTGTCTCAATTTCAAACTTAGAGTAGCCCGGTGATTTTGCAGCAGTAGCCAGCCATTAACCCATTCGCTCCTGGAGATTTTGCCCAAAAACGCGTTTTGAAGCTAGTCGAGTGGTTTTCTGGTCACTGTCGTGCTATAAAGAGCTAAAACTTACCACAAACCGGTTTACAGGTTGTACACTTGGCAGCCTTCTGATCCAGATGCAAAATATCAGCTTGCAAAGTTCGGGCATGCGCAGAAAGCAAAATTTTGACATAGTTTTTGGGTTTAAAAGTGACACAGCAGTCTTGACTTTTACTTTTCGCTTTCTCTCCTCCCTTCTTTTTTCGCTTTTCTTGCCTCATTTTTTTTCTCTTGCTGGGCATTTAGTAGGCTTCATTTTGGTGGGAAGAGTTTTTAGGAAAGCTTTTAGGATCTTAGGATTAGGTGAAAGGAAAGGTAGGTGGGTAATGGAACAAGATTTTCATGGAGATTTTCAGGTCCTTGTCCTATGGTTTTTTGTTTCTTTCTCCGGTGTCCTTGACTGAATTGTGCTCATTCTGGTATGGTTTGAAAGATCTCTTCACTCTGCACAAGTTAGCGAAGAAAGTTGTCCTTGACCGTTAAAACTGATGACGTCACAAAGGGTAGAAAGGACCTGGATCCGCACGGGCGGTTACGGGCGGTTCAGGGGCGAATGGGTTAATGACTGCCCTGACTACATGTAATATATTTGAACCTCACAATGGTCACTGTACAGTTTGGACAATAAATCATTTGGCTTCTCTGTAGTGGTAAAGATGTTACATAATCCCCAGGAAAAGAACAAAAGTCTTCAGGAGAGTCTGTTTTGTACTGCATCCTTCATACCTCTGTTATTCTTATTAGAATGTTATTAGAGTTAAGAGTCAAAGACCAACTTTCTCACATAAGCACTCACTAAACTTGACCCAGATTGGAGGATGACACTCTTTCCCTGGACAACGTTCCTTCATATAAGTGAGGCTTTACTGTGATTGTTTGACTTGTTCTGTCATTTGTGATGGTATGTTATGCTCATTTCAGGTTCAGATGCCAGTAGCAATGAGAATTTTCATTCAAACAACAGGGGATCATCAGGGGGTGACAGTGGAGGAGGAGGAGAGGGAGATAACAAGCCCCCTGGGGGAGACTGGTGGAAAAACTTTCGTGAAATCAACCCACAGGGGTTTGCAATAGGTGTTGCTTTAGCGGCAGTGGGAGCACTGCTGTTCATGAATGCTGCTGGGATGGAAAGCCGAGAGATTAATTGGCAGGAATTTAGAACCAAGTATCTTGAAAGAGGAGAGGTGAGTAATGTTTGGAAAGCTCGCTCATTTGTTTTTTTTGTTTGGCAATTTTTAATGACACATGAAGCATTTCTATTACAGGTCAAAAAGTGAATTCAGGCTAAAATTTTTTATCTTAGGTTGATTCTCAATTTTCTTTGTGACCTAGCCCTAATTATACATGAATTATTCGTAGGGCTAGGAGACAAAGGAAATTGAGAATCAACCTACATGTGGGTTAAAAAATTTTAACCTGCATTAATTTTGCCCTGTAACATATATACATGTGATATTGTAGGGCAATGTTTTGCATGTACACACTTTACATACCAACAAGTATACACATGTTTATAAATAAATAATATTGAACTTCAACTGTTGTTTACTTTCTCTTGATTTCCAATTCAATCCTTGCATGAATTGTCTTAAACTGCTGCCTTCGTAAAGACATTCCCTTAACCCTCTAGGTCCCAAGAGTGACCAGCATCAATTTTCTCCTAACAACATCAGCAGATCATCAAGAGTAAAGGTTATGAAGATTGCTATATTGATTACCAAAGGGAGAACACTTTGATCTTCAACCAAATTCTCTCAACTATTCTTAAAAGAAATGTATGGAGATCAGTTTGGAGAATTTGTAGTGAATCTTGGGGCTTAAAGGGTTCAAATGATCCTGAATTTTTTCCTCGCAATCAGTCAGGCTTGTCATCTCAAATCTTGATCAATGCTCAGTCTTGTAACAGTCTTTAATTTTTGTTTCTCAGGTTGAAAAGCTTGTTGTTTCAAACCAGACACTAGTTAAAGTATTCTTGAAGAATGACCCAAACAAGGTACTTAGATACAAAAACACAATGATCTGTTGGTTGATTTAATTTAATTTGAGAAAAATACTACCCCTGTCCTGGTGGTTTTACATGCACTTATACAACATGTTTGGTAATCAAAGATAGTTTAATTGTGCTGGAAAGCTTGAGAAAGTTTGACATTTATCCCTTTCTTATCTTTTTCTTCCTTTTTTTGCCCTTAATCACATAAATAATAGTTAGTAAAGGTAAGTGTAAGTCACACTGAGAGATTCCTCTTTTTTTTACCCAAGAAGTCATGTAGGATGATCAGTACACATGTGATGGCCGAAAGTTAATAATGGTAGTTATGCTTTCGAAGTGAGTCAAGGAATGATGTTTCTGAATTACTTTCTTTTTTTAGTGAAACATATCATAAGCCCTCTGTTCTATGTTTTCTTTGCAGAGCCGACTTTGTTTCACCATTGGAAGTGTAGAAAGTTTTGAACGTAATCTTGAGACTGTTCAACAGGAAATGAACATTGATCCTGCTTTCTGGATTCCTGTAACTTATGTGAAGGAATCGGAGTGGCTGTGAGTTTGTATAATCTGTTCACATTTTAATTAAATCAGACCTTAAGCACAGGTCAGAGCCAAGTGGGTCCTAGCTGTCGTCAAGGGCTATAATATAGGGGTCAGGGTTTTATTTGGCTCCATTAGAAAATATCTAATTTAAATTATGTAAGCTTTGGATAGTTTTGGACATAGTAATGTTCACAACACAAGAAAATTGCAAATTCTCAACTGCATCTGCAATTTCCTTGCATTCAAAAATTATTGTTGACAGCCTTAGTAGCCAACAACTTTCCTCTGACATGCATACTACTTGGCCATCATACATAAGAAGCTGCCTTTAGGAGACTTCCTGCTTACTTGCTCCACTTTTCACGGCTACCGCTCACCCTTGTGGCCTTTTAACATTTTCCTATTTAGGGCATTCTTAATCTTCTGCTGACACAGGTGACCTTAATTTTTGAAGCATGTCATTCTATTTCCATTGCCAGTAAAATTAATTTAATGAAACAACAGTTAAACATTTTTAATTTTATTAACAGGAAAGAACTGATTAGGTCACTGCCTACACTGTTGATTATTGGCGCAGTAATTTACTTGACTAGGAAGCTTACCAGTGGAACAAGGGGACAGGGGGTGAGTTACATAATGCAATAAACTTGTTTTCAATCAAAACTACTGATGTACATGAAGATACTTTGCAAGAATGACATTTTTCATTATTTCATAGAATGAGATTCAGAATCTTGCGTGTCTTCGTTCTTGTTGGTAGAGCAATAGCATTAGTTTATATTAAATTTAGAAAACACATGAAGTTAAAAAAGACTCAGCCTCATCAAAGGAACAAGATCAAGATCTACAGTTTAAGAAACATTTTTAAAGATTTAATTGTGTGTAGGAACAGCTATATTAATTTTGATATAAACAGAATGTAAATGATCATTAACATTAATGATAGGACAAGATAATGCTTTGTTTTATTACCCACCACTTGGAAATTATAATTATCAGCTTTTGATCTTCAAAATTAATTAATTTTTGTAATATGATTTGCTTGTTTTCCATTACACAGGGTATATTTGGGGTAGGGCAGTCCACAGCCAAAGTTTATAACAAAGAAACAAGTGTTAAAGTTAGATTCAAGTGAGTACTGGGCTTTAAGACAACTTACAGTAATGTGATGACTTTAATTAAGGTCCATGGAATGTGATTAGGACATTTAAGATTTCATACAAGAAGTAAGACAAGAAGCAGCATTATAATGCTTGTTCTGTAGTCAATAACAATCAATTAGAAAGGTCTATTATCAACCTAAAATACAAAATTTAGGTTGCTATTATATTCTTGTTTGTATTGTAAATAATTTATTTTTTAGGGTTCCTATTTATAACAGAGTCTGCCTTGACTCTGAATGGATTTCCCTGAAAATATAAAGGTGTTTATCTTTATCTAAATGCAATTACTTATTATTGCAGTTGTAGTGCCTAGAGATTTACATGGGTTCCTGGGTGTGGATTAAAGTATTATTGTAAAAAAAATCTATGGTCTTGATACTCTTTTTTCTTTGTGTTTCCTCCATCTTGGAGTTTCAAAATTTTTGTCAGAAGTTCTTGTAGTTTCAAGCAAGGGTCTTGGCAAGCCTCTGAGATCTTAACGTTATTCAAAAAAATCTATGGTCTTGATATGTTTACTAACATTATAATTTTTTTCTTTCAGGGATGTTGCCTCCATCTAATGGAGTTTGTTTTCAAAAGTATTTTGTCTAGAAGTTAAGGTACAGTGAACTGCCTTTTTGTAAACATTTTAGGGTCTTAAAGGGACAAGTCCTCTGAGATCTTAATTTCGTTATTCACATGTCCCAAGAATGGTGAAACAAAAGGGTATCGGAAATAGTATGAATAAACCTTGTAGAGTTGAACTGCTGCCAAAACGTGATTAAAGGAAGTTATTTTTATATAACATGGATTGTTAATCTTCTTTTAAACTTTTTCAGTCAATAAAGATGTTGCAGGATGTGAAGGTTCAAGCTTGATGTTTCAAATATATGTAACCTTTCCCATCCATTTTACAAATATATATAATGATTATTTGCTTGTCAATGTTTGATTCATTTCTCTTGTTATTTTGATAAAAGAAGGCGATTTTAAAAATCCTCACCTCTTCAGTTATCTTTGACTGCAAATATGATAAAAGGAGGATAGAAAGTTTACAAAAAGAGATTTTCAGTAAAAGATCGAGGATGGTACAGGATTGAACTGCCAGAGATTTGATTTTGGGTTGAGGTAAATGCTTTTTTAAGTACTGTCCAAACATTTTAACATTTTAAAAGGGAGGTTAGTAACCAACCATGATAAAGACGGCAGAGAAAAAATCACTAAAAAAATTCATTTTCCAAACTGTATTGCATTTATTAATTAATTAAGCCTCACTTAACTTTTTTAACTGTAAGTGAATTTTCCTGTAGTAGAATATTCTTATAGACTCTATCCAGTTAAGAAAGAGCTAGGAAAAATATGTCGTCATATATTCATGTCCTCCATAAAATGTCATGTTATCAAATTTTGCATCATGATCATGCAGTGGATGTCAAAGAAATGTACCAAAAAGCACAATGCATGTGCAGTGCTGTTACTTTGCTCATGAAAACAACTTTTTTTACGTTATTTTTGCTGTTGTCGTCATAATGGGAAAGTACAATGTATCTTAATTTAATTTATTGTAGTTGACCGTCAGACATTTCCACATTTTGGACATAGGAAACTAAGAGGAGTTTGAGTTGTTATGGTTGAGTGACAATGTAAGTGTACAAAACTTGCATTATGAAATTGTGGGTAACAAGAGGGGCCTGCAATCCTAATCTCCAGGTTTCTATTACACAAATGTATGGCACTTATGTAGCCAGCATTCGTATGAATTCTACGAAGAATGAGTCTGGAATGCATAGAATGCAATCTGATCACATGCATTTGGACCTTATATCACTATTTGGTAATAATATTAAACTTTGTGGGAGCAATGAAACCATTGCTTACGTTTAGTTGTTTGTTTTGTTTTTCTAGGGTGCTATATTATCAGGGCCGCCTGGTACCGGAAAAACCCTTCTAGCCAAGGCAGTTGCAGGCGAGGCCCAGGTACCGTTTCTTAGTATCTCTGGATCAGAATTCTTGGAAATGTTTGTGGGTGTCGGTCCAGCGAGAGTCAGAGATCTGTTTGCTCAAGCAAGAAAGAATGCACCATGTATTATATTTATTGATGAAATCGATGCTGTTGGTCGTGCTCGTGGACGAAGCGGTCATATTGGAGGGCATGATGAGAGGGAAAACACTCTTAATCAACTATTGGTGGAAATGGATGGTACGTGCTTCCCAGTATTGGTTTGATGTATTTAATGTCACTATAATGCTGTTAATATTCCCTTGAAAGTCACTGTTTGCTCTTGTGTAAGCTGGTTGAATAATGACAAGGTGTGGCAAGGCACATTTTTTACAGCGAGACATTGTCTCCAGGTTCATCCAATAAATACTGATGTACTCTAAGCTACCTAGACTCATCGTGCTAAACGACTAGCCTTGAAAAATGCCTTCAAAACAAGTAGGACCAATCCATGAATGCTAAGATGTTTTTGTAAGCAGACTTGCATTAAATAGAATTCATCAAGATTTAAGCAAAAGAGATCAATGTCATGAAGGCTAGGCAAATGCTCCGAATACTTTTTACTTGGAAGGTCACTACGGTAAATGGGATGAGGTTATTGAATTGCCCATGGCATAGGGTAATATTATATCCAAAATAAGGCAATTCGCAAGGCAAATTTTTGTCTTGCTTTTTTTGAATTAGGGATGGCATTGCAAGGATTATCAAACAGATATACGTATATTGCAAAGATGATGAAAAATACAGATATTATTCCTGACTACTTACGAACAATATAGTTTGAGTACCCTGTTAGTTTGTGTCCAGTTGTATGTTGTTTTGATTTTGCAACTCAGTTGTTTTTCTTTGTTTTTCAGGTTTCAGCTCCACTACAAATGTAGTAGTATTGTCAGGTACAAACAGACCTGATGTACTTGATCCTGCTCTGCTGAGGCCTGGACGGTTTGACAGGCAGATTCACTTGCCACCACCAGATATCAAAGGAAGGTAAGAGGAAGAGAGCTTCTAAAAGGAGAATTTTAGTAGGATTCACGTTAAATACATATAAATGAAAACCCTCAGTGCTGGAGGTCAGTTGTTGGTTTGTATAGGCATACTCAGATGTTTAATGCTACTTAGTTCATGTGATATGTCATTCATACAGTGTGAGGAGTTTCTTCAAGTGGTGTTTTCTGACAGTGTTTTTTTTAGCCATGTTTTCTCCTCCCCCCCAAACAACCAATTCCCTTCCCTAGTTGTTTTCTCTGATATTTTCAGTGTGATGGTTGCCTGTTTTTTCTTCGAGTTAGAGCTCATGGCTTTGTTGCATGGTTGTGCCATCCCCTGGATATTCTAGGCACTGAACCTCCATTGAGCAATGTAGTTGTTAATGATCTAAAAAGCAACTGGCTATAATAGTTTTTTTTTGTTCCTTTAAATCTAGATATTCCATCTTCAAAGTTCACCTGAAACCCCTGAAGACAGATCTGAACCTGGATACAGTGGCAAGAAAGATGGCTGCCCTTACACCAGGATTTACTGGTAAGCATTTTCTAAGGTTTTATCATAAGACTGTTAAGGTTGGAACGCGCCAGGCAACATGTTACAGGTAACATGTCATGTCATGGTGACAGATCACTCCTTGTGTACATACATGTCAGGCGACTAAGTGGAGCAAACTGTGACACATCGCGGCGACAAATTGCTTTGTGTGAACAGGAGAATTTTTGTAAAAATCTTTGTCTCTGCAGCATAATTTTGTCACCACAACAAATCGCTTAAATTCTGTCTGATTTGATATTTTGCGGCAACAAAATCCTATTGCACAGACCATGATTTTCACAAAAATTTTCCAGTTAACACATGAAGCGATTTGATGCTATGACATGTTGCTGCAACTTGTCGCGTAGTGTGTAGCGACCTTTAAAAATATTTAAGATGGTCCTTGTAAGTTCTATCTTATGTACACTTGTAATAATTAGCACATCACTATTTGGAGCTTACATCCTTAAGCTGACACTATGTTCATGGTTGGGAGGTCCTTGAACTTCTTGTATAACTTGCTTTTTGCTCAAATAATTGTTTCAACATGGAAATCAGTCTATTTTTAGTTGCTGATTTTCTGATGAAACAGGTTCTGAAACAAACAGGGTCATTTACAACCTTGGCATGTGGACATTGTGTGCCATCTGTTTACACTGTAAGAGGCAACAATGACCTCATTGATCAGGGTGCAAAGAAGATCATTTTTACAGCTTGCCATTCGGGCAAACTGAAGCTAACATTTACTAGCCCAGATGTTATTTCAACTAGCCCCAAAAGCTTTTTGACAAGCAGAGTTGATTGCACAGTTCTTCTGTTATTCGAATTCCTCAAAAAAGATCACTTGCCGGTCGGGCAAGTTAACAACAAGATTCACTAGCCCAATAGCAAAATCCACAAGCCCCAGGCTATCGGACACCACTTTCTAAAGTTGCACGCTGTTGATATACACGGTTTGTCTTGACCTAAACTAAAAGATTCATAAATACCAGCAGGAAGGTGCCTCAAATTTGAAATAAACAATAAAAACACAGTTGTAAACAGGTCTCACCAGAATCTGCATATATAACACTCTTCAATTGGAGGTGGACCCTGTTGAAAATATTCATTTTCAGTGCTTTTATTTTTCTTTTTAGCCATCGAGACAAACATGAAACTGGAATATTGCCTTTCACAAGACAAGGCACTTCCCACTGCTGGCAGTGTTCTCTTGTGATTGAGAATTTTTTTGCATATTAATGTCTTTTATTTGTTCTACTTTTTTTAGTAACATTATATCCTGCTGATAGTCTGTAGGAAACATGCTCTTAGGGTTATGATACTCTTTTGACTGCAGGAGCTGACATAGCTAATGTGTGTAATGAAGCTGCACTCATTGCTGCCAGATACCTTATGCCTAAGGTGGAGTTAACTCATTTTGAACAAGCAATTGAGCGTGTGATTGGAGGTGAGTGCCGCTGAAGCTGTAGTTATGCCACAAACCCCAACCTCCCAATATCGCACCCTGTGTTCAGTTACTGTAAATGTTTGAATTTAGTTCTAAGAAGGAAACAATCTTTAACAGTAAACAGGAAAGTGTCTGTCAAAGGAACACAAATCTGTGCGTTGTCACTCCCAAAGTCCAGTTGTCTCTGAGGTTCTCAAAGTTCTGCTATTGAAATCATTCTATTATTCCCTACCATTATTCATTAATTTTTTCTTTCTTGGGTGAGAGTTGCGTGCGGCTTTTTTTAAAGGGGTTGCTTATTAATTTTAAGTTTTTGTCTCCAAGTGGAGAGGGTCGGGGAGGGGGGAATGTTGCAGTCACACTTAAGGTAGTTTAAGCATTGCTGAAGTTTAAGCATTTATGGTAGTTTTGGGTGGAACTTAAACTTCTTACAGTAGCTCTCTATCATATTTACTTTACTGCTTGATGAAAATTTCGTAAGGAACTATAATATAACAAAATATATACAGTTTTGTTTGTCTCATGTTGATTATTGGGCGTGAGAACCAGAGTTGTTGGATTTGTCTTAAATTTTTCATTTGTATCATGGTTAGGCCTGGAGAAAAAGACTCAAGTTTTACAGCCTGAAGAAAAGAAAGTTGTGGCATATCATGAGGCTGGCCATGCTGTGGCTGGGTGGTTTTTGGAACATGCTGATCCTCTTTTGAAGGTTCAAATTTTGCTGATGGTTTCAATAATTTATCACCAAATTAGTTCACCAAAACACCAGTCATTGTAGCAGCTGATAGACCGTCCCAGGTGTTCAGTGAGTGCAGATGTGGATGCGAAGAAGAAAAATAAGAAAATTGAAGCAGTAAAATTGCATTCTATTTTTTGCACCTCTTCCCTCTATCTGAATTCCTGGAACAGGTTGAGTAGCTGATGAATGATCTCACAGCTTTACATGTAAGTAGGTTTCTTTTTCAAGTTCAGCACTACAAAGAGAAAAAAAAACACTTAAACAAACGCTTAGATTAGATTTATTGGTTACTGGTTTAACGGATTAATTGTGTATAAGTACTATTAACTGTTCAAAATTATGTTTAATTGAGTATTTGGGCTGCTGGAATTTAACTGGCTCTGGCCAGTCAGAAAAAAGGCACGTTGTCAGTCTGTCACCAAAGATATTCCACACTGTATTTTTCGCTCCTGAGCTACATTTAGGATTTGTTCATGCTCATTAAAGTAATATTTCCATAAATTTTCAGGTTTCAATCATCCCAAGAGGCAAGGGACTTGGTTATGCTCAGTACCTTCCAAAAGAACAGTACTTGTATTCCACAGAACAGGTCTGTATCACGTGTGCAGATCATGCTCGATACTGCTATAAATGAGATATGTTAAGCAGTTTTTCTCATCACCAAACTTGACCGTTATCTATTCATACACGTAGTTATCGTCTGATTATATTAAAGATTTGATCATTCCCGTACATTACTCTTGCAGCTGTTGGATCGCATGTGTATGACATTGGGGGGAAGAGTATCGGAACAGATATTTTTTGGTCGAATTACGACGGGCGCTCAAGATGATCTCAGCAAAGTTACCAAGAGTGCTTATGCTCAGGTACACATTCATTACAAAATCTAACGTTGGTTACCGGTTGTTTCAATACAAGTTTATTCCTTCCAGAGGTAAATAGTTTCACGTACTTGGCTTAAAGAACGAAGAATAATATTCACCCAAAATGTTTTTCTTGTTCAATTCCAAACTTTACCTGAAGTGTTACAAATTTTTGTGCAGTTTTACTGCGTGAGTTCGTATCGAAACGACCGGTTTCCTTAACATCCCCCCTCCCTTGACAGCTGCACAAGGGACTTTTTAGCATTTTGGAAATAAAATGTCGCTTGAAAATTGGAATTTTGTTAAGGAATCGTTTTTGTAACCTCTCTTGCCACTGTTAATCTGTTTTTTTTGGTGATTAAAAATGAAGGGATTTTACTAACTTAAGGTATAGCCTTCCATGCAGATATCCTTAGGGCTTCGTCACCCGTTCATTCCTTAGGGGAGGATGGCATGATGAGCCAAAGGAACGTCTGCGGGAGAGGCTACTAAAAGTAGTACTGTACACTGAAATCATTGGCATGATATTGGAATGATATTGGCCATGATGGCTTGCCTGCAGGCTAAATGTTGTGTAATGTGTAAAAGATGCGCTAGTAGCTCAGCTGACACATTGAATGGTTTGGGAATGGAAAACTGTTTATTAATAATTATTGAGTTCAGCCAGAAGCATATAATCCCATGCTTTTGGTTCAGCTATCTAGCTCGCTTCTCATATAAACTGTTTACCGTCATTTCGTTGTCATAGGTCGTAACATTTGGAATGAATGAAAAGGTTGGAAATGTATCGTTTGACCTGCCACGCGAAGGAGAACCTACTTTTGATAAACCCTACAGCGAGGCCACCGCGCAGCTGATAGATGAACAAGCCAGGGATGTTATAAACAATGCTTACAAGAGAACCTTTGATCTTCTCACCAAACATAAGGAGGATGTAGAGAAGGTGAGCATCAAGCTTGCAATAAATTCGTTTTGTCCAGTTTTAGGATCGCAAGCATTTGCATGCAAAACTAAGCGAGAATAATTATTAAGCTTTAGAGATTCAGTTGTTTTCACTCGCTTTTGAAGGAACTGCTTGACCAATAGAGAGAATTGTGACGTCACGTTACCATGGTAGCAAAATATCTGGAGACAAAGATGGTCATTTACATTGTCGAACGATAAAAGTAAAGTATGGGCTACCATTTTGTTCTTTAGTGCAAATCATGCACAGGAAAGTCATGTCAGTTTTTTCTTTTTCCACGGTTTGTTGAGATCTAGAAATTTTGCTACCATGACAACCTAAAATAACGACTTCTCTCTATCCTTAGTAAGAATCTACTGTTCAGTAACTGACTTTATTTTTTCAGATTGCTTTGCGACTCCTGGAAAAGGAGGTACTGGGGCGAGAAGACATGATAGAGCTTTTAGGACCCAGGCCATTTAAAGAAAAGTCCACGTACGAGGAGTTTGTTGAGGGGACTGGTGGTGACACAGAGGATACCAGTCTTCCCAAAGGACTGAAAGGTCTGCAAGAACAGCTGGAGGAAGAGGACCCTCCTACGAATACCATACCTACGTAGTGTTTTGAAGGCATGGTTAAAGACTTTTTGGCAGGGAGGGGAGGGTTTTTAAGATGTAAACTCTTTGTCCAATTAATTGCCGTTAGTGGTCACACCTGTCTGTTCCTTCCACTTTCAAGAATTAGAAGCCTTAAATTCTAAATGACGAAGAAAAGACAACACAATTCCAAATGAAAGTACCTGTAATTTTGAAGAAGTTTAATTCGAATTTTTATGCCTAATGGTTTCATCCACAGACTCGAAAATTAGAGCCACCTTGTACAGTATACACTGTAGTAAACAGTGTGAGGTTTAAGTATTTCCCAGAGACTTTCACTGCTCAGAAAGCAGAAAAAAAAGCTAGAACCATCGTAGACAACATGATAAACAGTACCGCAGTTGAGGACTGCCCAGCAGCTGTCATTTGAATGGTCACACTTTAGAATGTCACCAAAGGAAAGTACTACTCGGGGGTGAGATGCACTAAGCAGGCCTCTCCCACTGAATATATATCTCAAGTATTTTTCTAACTAACAGACCACTGTTACAGGTATTTGACTATTTTCGAGTTCCACAAGTCTCAGTTTCAAAGCAAGGTTAAGTGCAAGGACATTGATGTGCAAATGATTTTTTATTCTCATGTAAGTAAAACTCATTTTCACGACAAAGGTTTTGCACTTAGCCACGTATTTAAAGTGAGAGTTTTTGGAGCTCAGAAGTGGCCTCTCGGAATTAGTTTAACTTAGGTGAGTGGCGTGGATCTGGCCTAGGAGCTTTCATTCACATACTGCGAGTGAAAAGCATATTGCTCGATATGATAGGTGATAAACGAGTGAGAAATTGAGAAACTACAATCTTTGTTTGAATTGAGCTGTCTTAAAAAATTCTCCTTTCAGTAAACTTAGACGTAAACTAAGATTAAGTTCAACTTTGGTGAAATGAAAAAATTAGAACGGTTTGTTGTATTGAGGTGGTCATCTTGTCTCTGACTGAGGAATACCCCCTGGAGGATGTGTAAAATACTTTCCCACTACATGTATCACTTTGGTGAACATAAAATATCGCCGTTGTACATTGTTAAAAGATATAAATAAAATGTGAGTTTCTGGTGGTTGTGCCTAGTACTTAAGAAACTTTTATTTTGTTATTATTATTATTTAATTAATTCACCAAACATATAAGAACCACTCTATACCATTTCAGCCTTTTGCTGAAAATCAAGCGCCAGCTGTTGGATAGAGATTTATCCGGTGGATTTCGGACAACTGGGGCTAGGCGTTCCATTTTCAAACCGAGGCCAAGTGCAAAACCTTTGTTGTGAAAATGAGTTTTATTTGCATGAGAATAAAAACTCATTTTAAATTTTAAATTTTAAACTCATATTAATGTCTTCGCATTTAGCCTCGCTTTGAAACAGAGGCTTCAGGCGACTCGCGTAGATGGCCTAATATTGGCGTAATTGGTAGTATCAGAATGACGCACATTATTATTAGGAGCATGATATTCAGAATCGTCATAAGCATCATCAATATCCTTTTTTAACTCATCATCAGTAGCAGGAATAAAGAGTCCAATGTAGATCCGGTGTGGCACGGGCGACCAACAACTGACCTTATTATATATTGCTAAATCTCGAGCGAACATGATAAAACGAAAGCTATGTTGTGATTGGCTACCCGGCCCCCCACGGGACCCCCCTGCGCTAGCGTAACGCATTGGTGGTATCACAAGAAATTGACTTGCTGTTTAGTTCAAAGTATCTCAATTTTATTAAAGTAGAAAATTGTACGTGGTAAACGTTGTTTCTTTTAAGTCAACTATTACTTTTTGTACGTTATTATTTATAATTAAGTGGACGCTTTGATCTGCTAAAGCTTTGCTTTTGCAATGAATCATGGTAAGCCAATTTTTGAAATTTCCTGAAGCCTTCCTTTTCAAAACGAGGATATGTGAAGTCTCGAGTCTTTGATTGGAAATTATTACAGTCTCATATTACATTCTCGAGCAAACAACTTCTTTGATGTAGCATTTTTGCACTTGGCCTCGTTTTGAAAAAGGGGGTCGGAAACGTTCGGACAGCTTTCGGGTCTCCGAGGATGATCATGAGGTTTCAACGTGCCTAGTCCTCGTACAGCGTTTTCCCAGGCCTTCTCGGTAAATTCACTTCGGAGTCAACATGATTTACTGTTGTTGACCATCCTAGCTACCCTTCAAAAGCTTTCGAGGCTATAAACTGACTAATAAAATTACTACAGTACTCAACATGGAAGTTCCATTGTGTAACAATTCGTGTCCCTCAAGCAAAGTCTTAGCTTAGTTTTGCATTTGCTAAGATGTGATTGGCTAGAATCTCTTTTACCATTTCTTCAGCCAATCAGAAGTCAAACAAACCGTGACTTGGTCGCACACATTTTCCCGCGCTTTTCGCCGGTTACACATATTTTTCTTGAGTTCTGATTGGTTGATTTGATAGTCAGCGTGTACCGTGCCGAATGGCCAGAAAAACTACAAAGTTTTGGCTAAACGACACTCGATGAGAAACTGCTCCCCCATGTAAACTGAATTCGATCTCTCAGAGCCCTTCATCATTTTTCCTTTCGCATTTTTCACGATTTCGAGAGTATACCCAGCCCAGTTCCCTGTAAAAGGAAGCTGAAAGTAATCGTGAAGTTTATCGTGTATGTTATTTACAATTAGTTTTGCATGCATCAACAAATTATCTTGACTATCTTGGGGGTGTTTCTTTGGGAAAATCAAACTCGCATTTTATAATCTAAAGATGGATTTTCCGCTTCTTTACCTAAATCCCAAAGTGGATTTTCGTGAACAATGTATGCTTCAAAAGGAATCAGAGAGCAAATCTAAACCTGAGATCAAGAATCTTAGATTCTCTCAAGAAGCGCGCCTTAGACAGTTGAATATCTAATAGTCCATTCATATTAATCTTCAAACTGAATTATGTCTTTGAAGATCTTTTCTAGCGCGACCCCATTATTTTCTCACTATATCTCATTCACGCAGTTCCATTTCTATATCCAGAGTAGAAATTACTTTTAGCCTAACAGGACGTAATTGCTTTTCAAGCTAAACTACGTAACAATCCATCTTTTTCAAAGCATAAAGTAGCTTAGGTTTCTTTATCGGTTACTGACTATACTTTAAGACAACTACAAGAAACTGTCTTCCTGGACAATCGCCGCGCATCGCTCTAAAAAAGTTGCCTTAAAACAACAAGATTGTTTACCGAACGTAAGGTATACGAACGCATTTCATTCTCCGCCAAAAAATGCTGATCCTGTTTTCTGTTTCACTTTTGACATGTCAAAACCTGCAATTCAAAGGTCACATTCGTGTACTCTTTCTCCAAGACCACTCTCTAGTCTTCCAAACTGAGGCGGACTTTTTCCAAGACTCGATAAATTATGTGCATTTTTCATTAGTTCCTACTGATTTAACTTTGAAGTTTTTCATCAAAAACTTTATTACTCAATAAAATTATTCGAGATTTCAGAATGCAATTATTTCAGGATTTCTGAGGTTCTTGCGGGAAACCCGGATGAAATCACTAATTTGACGAAAAAAGTTGAAGTAAATCACCAGCATAAACAATCAACAATGAGGACAACAGAGTTATAAACACGCAAAATTTTCGCGTTTTGTAAATGTCTAAAGAAGAAAATATTCAATATTCGCCGTAGAAGAATAGGTTCCGTGGAGTTTTCAATTTAACTTCCTCTACTATCTAAGACAAAAGTACTATAATCCTTATCCTATAACCTGCATACAAAGGCGGTCTTACTTTTCAAGTTCACTTGAAGCAATAGGGATATTTTGTAGTAATAAGTATAGGTAATAGCATGATTTGTAGTGATATTTGGCAATCACGAGTGGTATTTATGCCAAATATCACGTACAAATAATGCTATTATTTGTTTATACTACTACCCGCAAAAGGTTTGTAATTTTCACAAGTAGGTATTTCAAATTAAGCTGAAATATCACTGCTCTAAGCCAATCAAATTGCAGAAATTTCTCATGTTGTAGTATAATACCCGTAATTTGATAACTAGTGGCGTAAAGTTTTCGCGGAATTTCCATTAATCCACGAACGTTAGATTCGGACCTGCAAAATTGACTCCTGCGAAAAAAAGGTACCGTGAAAATTTTCTCCCTTTTTTGGATTGGTTGTTTTTTATTTTTTTAACACATTACTGAAAGTAATGTTAAGTTTATACTTTCCTGACGCTTTGAAACATAAGGAAGAGCCCGTGGAGATACCAACGTTCACTAGTTATTGCTGTTTAAATTGGTTCCCTCCACTAAGTCTGAAAGCCAAATTCGTAAAACGCAATAATTTGGATATCCGCGAATTAAAATCACGCAAAAATTTCTTGCCACTCGTTAAAACTTCCTAATATTATTTTTCCACGAACGCATCTACATTTTAACGATGCTTGCATAATATTATGATAACACGAAATTCACCACTTTCTTCCTGACTTGAAAGTATAAACGTGTTTGGAGCAATACACTAAAACTCCGCGACTAAGAATCCGTCAGGCTAAAATTTGTCAGGTAGGCCCCCTCAATAGAAGAACCTGTTAAGCCTAAAATTTGAAACAGGTTCTTATTTTCTAAAATCTATTTTAAAAAAAATTAGTACACTTGAAATAAAGGACTTCAAAATGGATGCAGTCAGTGCTTCCGTCCTTCTTCTCATGGTCATTTTTACATAAATACTAATTTGGTATACAGATTTTATATAGTGATTTTACTTAACCCGTGAAATGGGTAGTAGAATACTACGCACTAATTCTATTGTCTTCTTTTGTTTATTTGCAGCTATTTTGCACTAGTTGTTACTAACTGTTTTACAGGTCAAGTAAAATCGATCTAAGGAATAAGCTCATAGCTAATACTCATAGCTACCATGTTTTGATTTTTGTTTGTTTGTTTTGTTTTGGTTTTTTTTTCCGAAAATAAGAGCCTATTCACGTGCCTATATAGCCTATATTTGAGCTAATCATAAGTATAAAAAAATTCTCAGATCTGATTGGCTATCAACTGCCCTGATTTCAACCTTAATGGGACAATTTAATGGGACAGTACGCGTCACGCCTAAGTAATTGGACAGTACGCGCCATCACGCGCGCGCTTAAATGGCTTTTTTTCACAGCTAACAAAAAAAATTGGAATTTCTTCTGTTTTGATTTCAAAAAAGGGCCTTATTTATCACAAATTTTGTTAAAGTCATGATTAATTGGTAACAGAACTTCGTGTCTTCCAATTCAGGCTGTAATCATACTCGTGATTAAACAAATCGGGATTTTGTTAATCACTCGTATGATTACAGACCGAATTGGACTCCACTCAGTCCTGTGACCATTACTAATTACCATATATGTAAGAACCTGTTTAGGCCGACTTGGGAAAATACAGGTTCTTAGTCGCGGGGTTTTACTGTACAAGGTAATCTCTACACCATTCCCCCGATAGCAACTGCCCTCCATCACAGGACTAATGTTTCCTTTACCCTAGTTTACCCTACAAAACTGACTGAAACTACCACCTATGCAGATTTCTCGGTCCCGTCATCCTGGTCAGTACTATTAGACGAAAGTGGATCAAGTGTAAATAATTTTAAGGCATTAAGTCTGTTCGGCGATAGAACAACACATAGGGATCTTTACCCTGTGTGGGTTTTAGAACGTAATTTGCAGGCACGATTTTCAGCCTTGTGTCATCCGCTCTGATCCATCCGTGGATTGGATGAAAGACATCGCTTGTGTAATGACCTCCCCACGCGTTCTTTCCATGATGATAAACAACTGAAAAGAAAGAAAGATGGCTTTATTTATTTTAATTTAGTTTTACTCGGTATTTTTCAGATCAGGGTTATCAAAATTCTTCATAACATAATTAGGCGTGAGTCTCACGCCTGCGTGTTTTCGATCTCACGCCGCCTCACGCCTGCGCGCCAATTTCTCACGCCTGATTGAAAAATGTGAGTTGTTGCCGTCCTGTTTGACACAATTTCCAAAAAAATACGTCAGACCCATGTAAGGAACGAAAACCATGTGTACAATGAATAAATGGCAATACCGCAGACCTCTGATTTTTGAAGGAAAAGCACTGGGAATGCCTTTATCAACCTCGGACGTCTTCGGAAGACTTCGGACGTCTTCGAAGCCTTCGACTTCTTCGGGAATTTTTTATTATTCATTCAAAAAATCCCTCCGTTCCCAGGATAAAAATCTCACGCTTATATCTCAGAAAAAGTTGGCAGGTATATAACATACGAATGCCGAATCCGATAATTTTTTTATTATTCATTCAAAATATTTCTCCGTTTCTGATTGGCTTAAATGCCCCGGTCAATTCTTCATAACCAGCTACCGTTGACCAAATTTGCAGACGTTTGACGATATCAGTAAATTAACGTCGATAGAGAGGAGAAGACGTTACGTCATATCGCCATGGCAGCAAAATTTTTAAAAAACGTAGGTAATGCAACAACGTAGGTAAGTAGTTCGAATAATGCGACAAAATTGGTCAGATAACCTTACCAGCGAAAAGCTTGTAGGTTTTTTGGGCAGCAGAATATTTGTTCTTGACGTTCGATGAAAGCAGTTCTGTTTTAAAAAGAAAAAAAAAATCCTAATCAGTGAACGCTCTAAAAATTAAAATCCAGTAACATAAAAAACAAACAGTGAAAACAGCTCTAATATAGATATTCTTTAGCAATAAAATTAGACGAAAGTTACCTTTGCCGATACTTAGCTCCAAGGGGTAGTCTATAACTTTCAGAAGCTTTTGACTTCCAGCTTTGGAGTAAATAAACCTTTTCAAGTGAAGAATAAGAACCTTTGGGAGCCTTTCCAGGGTGACACGTCGGGAGATATCGACCTGAGAAAAATGACACAAATAAACAAAAATAACTTGACTTTTCCTAACAGCTTTCCAAATCTAAATCTAAATCTACTGCTTTGCAAAGCTCCCACATGGGATTTATATGTGAAGGGACTGTGCCACTGTACCCTGAATGCTTTTAGCTCGCAAACTCTCTACCCATGGGTTCTATTTCCTTTCCTTCTCGCAAAAGCAAAAATAGAGTGTTTTCACATGACGTCACGGCGGCCATGTTGGTGTCGCAAACCAGTCCGGTGGGAGTTGAACTCTTTTCTTATACAAACACTTTCTTTTGTTCCAATAAATTTGCATAGATGCTGGCCACGTGAGCGAAAACACTCAAACGTCCCTCGATAGAAGAACACATGTGGTTGTAGCTTTCTGTAATTTCCGGCCGGTTACCTGCGGATAATTTTTAAGCTACTTTATTTTCACTCAACAACTGTTGCTGTGGGTAATAGGAAGTAGCAGATAACGAGATCATGGTATGTCGCAAAGTTTTACTTTCGACTATGGTACCTACGAGTAGTCTCCCACGCAGCCGTTGTCTCGTCACCCAACGCTCCTTGGGGAGGAACGTTGCGTGACGAGACAAAAACGGCTTCGTGGGAGGCTTATCTAAAAGGGCTAGGTACGCAAGTGTTAATTGCCTTGCCATTATGTGGCATTTCAGCACATCACCGTATTGACTCGTTTAATTCTTTAACGGAAATAACAAAGACTTTGAAACGACTCAAGAACTTGTTTTAAAAACAATCCCATCCCAATCTCGTCATTTTTATCCGCCCTTGGGTAGCGTTCCCAATGCTTGCCTCTTTCCCAAAGCAATAGAAGTTTACTTCACCTGTACTTTGGTCTTGGTACAAGTGTATCCCTGTACCTCTTCCTTTACAGTCACATTTTTAAGAGCTTCTTCCACTGACGTGACAGGCTAATGAAAATAAAAAGTGTTCTTAAAACAGTATTAACGGCCTTAGCAGCCAACCAAAACACGCCTTCCCAGATGTTGGTCAGATGGCTGATACGACCAAAGGGGGACGAACTTGAGCAGTCTACAGTCAAACCTGTATTAACCGGACACTTGCAAATCATTTGTCTTAATTATTGTCAAAATGACACTGAAATGACCTGTGATAAGCGGTCTCAGTCACCTTAACCGATGTCCTAACGAGTAATTTCTATTATCTTCACCTCCATTATTATTCGGTCACTTGAACAAGTGACCGCGTGCCTTGGATTTATTTATTTTCGTGATAAAGGATAGGTTTGTCAAACCTGTATGAAATGGTCGACCTCAATGAAACGATCAGTACGTTGAGCACTCGCTAAACGTGACTGCTTAATATGTTTTACTATAGATGACTACAGTCTAATAAACCAACCTGTACATCTAACTGAAGCTCAAAGAAAGGTTCCACATTCGCAGAGTCCTTCAAACCAGTCTGATGAACTGAGGAGCGAAGAAACCCACCAAAAATATCCGAGATAAGGGACGATGGGTAGGAAGCCTAAGAAAAAAAAGGCAACATAAACAACTTACTCTTGGTTTGCAATGTCGGTTCACAAAACAATGCAATTTTTTGCAGTGTTTGCATGAAAAAAAAGGAAGAAAAGAGTTAGAGGGAAACACAACATGGTTGTGATGACTTCAGTAACCTCCTAAAAGGCGTTCTTTTTTTTTTTTTGCGGGGGGGAAGCGGCGGGGGGGGGAGAGTGACGCCATCCAAAGAAAAAGGTAAGAAGGACCGCCTGATTGCAGGTTATGATCTGAGCTGCCAGCCAGCAATTCAGAGGAGTTGTTGGGGTGCTTTTTTCGTGTAAATGAGAATAAAAAATTGACTAAAACCATGTTTTCAAAATTATTTGCAAAAGAGATCACCAAAAATGCCATTAGGTAACAAAAGCACTGTAAGAGGCAACATCATAGCATGCACCCTACGTAACAAGGCATAAACAATCATTTCTCACCATTCTTGTCACTGTCGACTTGTTCCTGGGCCCAACTTGTTCCCAGTCCCCCTCATCTTCCCACACATCATGAGAATCTACTTCATGTATAGTGTTTTCTATATTTTTTAACTCTTCATTTTCCTTTTCAGAAGCTACAAGGAAACAAAGGACAGCTATGGGTTACTTTAAATGGAATGTATAGTCTGAGTGGGATGCACTCAAAATGAAAGAGGAAAATTGGGCATGCAAAAATGCATGTAGTTTTCAGTATTGTTCATCTCTTTAGTTTCCTTCTCGGAGGCTAGAAGTAGACAAGGAATACCTCTAATGTACTTCACACTAAGTACCAACAACAAGAAAGAACAATAAGCTCTTAGTAGAATTTGACATAAATTATTGTACCTTTGTCAGGCACAGAGACCAACTGGGAAAGCTGCAACATCTCCTCATGCATTCCATTCAGAATACAGCTCAGAAATTCTTGTGCATCCTCTTGTCGACCCTTGTAAGTAATGACGAATAAGACACAAAAGCACTGTCTTGTTAGTACTACAGTTCTTTACAGTAGTGTCATGCAGGACTGCAGCCAGACTTTTAACTGAGATTAAAATGAAAACTATAGAGTGTAGGCCTGGAGGTATCCACCCTGAAAAAATTGAAATCTAGAAGCCTCTGGAAGGCCATAAACATTTTATGAGGTTTTTCTTCAGGAAAATGGTACAATAAAAAATTATTTATATCATCATTAATATATTTTAGGCATTGTCATACAGGTGCTTCCCAAATACCCTTTGTTCCCTCCAATTCCATTTTAGAAACCTGGTTCCCATATTTAATTTAAGAATTTTAAAACAATAGAATGTTGTACATTGTAACTACATTACAATAATCATTACAATACTGATTACTAACGCTGACAATATGCATTGCTCATATTACACCTATCAATTCTACCATGGCACATTTTTCTTCAAATGTTTTTGAAAATTATTTCGCTGATGAATTTGGCAAGAGTGTGTCGGTGGGTAATCAAGATACTGAAACATGGATATCACCCTCACAAGACTGCAGTAAACTGTTTAATAATACCTACGGAATGACAACTACTCCTTTTCTAAGTGCTATAAAAGATACTGGAAAAGATTTCTGGTAAACCTAAACCTCACCTTCGCTGAAAGTGAACTCTGAATCATTGACAACATTCTGTAAACATATGAGGGTTCAAACGGCTCCCCAATTTTAAAATCAGATTTGGATGATGAAGAAGAAGAATTTCCTGTTCAAAAAAGGAAAAAATACTAAAAAATTAAAATCTTGTCATGTGAATGACAAGTTTTATCCAAATCTATATGTACAACATTTGAAGCACTCCTTCCATTAAAGATATGCATATTTCAAGAAATCAATATTTCTCCAACAGTCCTCCTGAGTTTAAATATTGAAATTCACACACATGGAAGGTCAGCAAGATGTCCATTTACAAATATTTTGCTTCTCACTGATTCTAAGAGTCAAGGTCAAATATTTAGAAGTTGTTACTCATGGAATATGAGCAAGTTTTATTTTCTCTTTTCTCACAAATTCAGGTGCCTTCAGTAGTTTACACATGAATGTTGATCGACCCACCTGATTTAACTGGCAGCTCCTTAAATTCATTCACAAAGTTTATTCTGTAGGAATGAAGACAACAACCAACAATCAACCAGGAAAACGATCAACAGGTACTACAGCATATATTAATCATTTTATCAACTTGCCATGAAATACTGTAGTAATCACCCACCACAAAGACTCTGGTTAAGCTTAGTTTGATTCAGAATTCCCTTCGTTTCCTGGCCCTAATATCATTATTCACAGGAGACAAAGAAAATTCTGGTTTAAACTGAAATGAATTTTTGTTCAGCAGATACAGAAGGAGGGAACCATAAGCCTTAGGGGTGCTAGGGTTTAACCTCCCCCACACCTCTTAAAGTAATGTCAGGTACAAAGGTAATGGTGTGACTGTTCGAAAGAAAACCTTTTAGAAGAATTGTTGCTTATGAAGATAGAGTCAACTCTAGCCTTCAAAAATAAATGTAGGAGGTTTGACTGGAATAAACTCTCAATACTCAGGGGCGGATCCAGGATTTTTCTTAGGAGGTGATGCACTCGTCTCTTGCTCCACTCCAACACCAATAAACCACATAGTTTTTTTTTTTTTTCAGAATACAAGTTGTATTAGAAAACCGCAGGTCATCTCAGGGGGGTGCACACCCCCTGCACCCTCCCCCTAGATCCGCCCCTGATACTTCAGACTAGCACTGTTAGGGACACTAAATTGCAGTCCCAGTGGGGTCCATAATAACAGGAATTGGCTGCACTTGTTCTTCTGTCACTATTCTTCAAATTAAAATACTGTAAATCCTCTATTAAGCCTCCTCCCTCTGATAAGCTGCCACTTTTAAGTGGAAGAAGGTTAACATTACAGCCCCCCCTGCCCTCCCCTAATTATTCTTCACTAATAAATGATAGACTGTATTAATCAATTACAAATGGAAAACTTCATGTGGACTGATACAGGATGGTTTATTTATCAACTGGACGTTCATATTTGATTGTGATTCTTGGCTGTGTGACCTCCAACCTTCTTGAACATGAGCTTTACCGCTTTGTATTCTAGTTCTTCATGGAGAACTGATACCATCGTATTTTCTAAATTAAATAGGCCTCCCCTCTCAAACAAGCCCCCCATCTCTATTATAAGCCTCCCCATCAAATGGGCTTGAAATAAATAAGCTCGCGGAGGGGCTTAATAGAGGATTTACAGTATGTAATTGGATGGAATTTACAGGCATCCTTACAAGCTGTCCAGTATGGGTGTTGATGTTTCTCCTTTGCCCTGAATAAATGGCAGCTTACGTAGAAGATTGAAGAATGGTGTACACCCAGCTAATGCTTGCAATGTCTGATGAAAGGTGTTATGGCTAAATATATTGACACATAATTAATTATTATTATTATTATTATTATTGTAATTGTTATTTTATAGTATAAAGCTTGAGGACATTGTTTTACAAGAGATGCAACTTTTGACTGATTAACCTGTAGTCCCCAATCACTCATCAAAAGGAAATTTGGAATTGGATTGGGTTTTAAAAGCTCTAATTAGGCAAAATCTTATCTACCCGAGGTCAAAATCTACAAGAAATCACATTGCATGCAATAATGGTGCACCAGTATTAGAAAGAGTTGAGTGTATTGTAAAGCACAGGGTAAAAGAACAGAAAAAGCTGCAAGGGAAGGGGGAGGGGAAGGCTCCAATGTAAAAATGGCATTGGTGTTTGTTGAAAAATTCTTTAATGACCCCTAAAAGGCAACAGAATCACGTGTTGTAGGCAAGGCACAGGTTACTTTAACCCCCAAAATCAGTACCCCAAAATCAGTTGACTATCATTTTATGAGTAACAAAACATTTCCTTGAAGTTTTGGCTTGAAACACTTCGAGGACCATTATAGGTACAGTGATGACCCTAAATAAAGGTAGTCAATTAGATTAAACCATTCTAACCATTCTAGCCCCCAGGGAAGCTTGTCCTTAAAAATCAAAGGATACTGCATTAATATAACACCAGTTTCCTTTGTTTGTCAGCCCTCTTGGAATGAAAGGCTTATGACTGCAGTTTAATTCCTGTTTCTGGATTGCTTCTGCAAGAAAATGACGCATTGATCAATATTATCATGTAGCAACCTTTGAAAGTAGACAAAAACTCAAATTGTGACAATTATTTATTTTTTCCATGACCCAAGCAAATTCTTCAAACCTCAATGACTTAATTTGGAATGCAAACTTTGACTTTCTATGAACATGTAATTCCCTGGACAGTGATGATGATGATGATGATGATAATGATGACGACAATGAAGGTGGTGATGATGATGATGATGACATTGAACGACAACAACTTTGACGACCATTATGACCATAACGATGATGATGACGATGATGAGGATGCTAACGATCGTGATGGTGATGACAAGAAAGGGGGATGATGGTGGTGAAGATGATGATGACAATGATATGATTATTGAGAATCAGGTAATATTACAACCAACAGTTACCTGCAAATTTTCTGGCATTCTTGTCCTCTTTTACTGAAACTATTGTCTGACCACCCTGATCATCATTCTTTTTAAAATCTAGAGCTGGAAATGTTACTTCTGTCCTCACAACAGGGCTCTCTACTTTGACAACAATGCCTGGAGATTTCTTAGAGCTGCTGCCTTTAAACAAATCAGCCCATGAAAGAGCTTTAGGAGTCTCTTTCTTTTCTGTTACTTCTTGATTTTCACTGTCAGATTTCCTACTTTTAGCCGTTGAAGTTTTGAGACCTGCAGTGCCTAATTCTACAGCCTTCAACTGTGGAACACTAGAAGAGGTCTTGACCTCTGAGTCACTCTGAACAGGGCTGTTTGAAGTTCCATCCGTGGATGAAGAACTTTTTCGATCACTTATAGTCTTTCCATCACAAGAACTGGTGCTATTTCTTTGTGATGTATTTTTATGGTCTGCCAAATTACTGCTACTGTCTTTTGACTCTTCATGAACTTTTACAGTATCTTTGTTGCCTTTTGTTTTATCTGATGTGGCTAATAAGCCTGCAGATTTGCTTTTACCAACAGAACCAGGTGAAGACCTATCCTTCTCAGCACATTCACTAGAAGAGCTGGATACAGAGCCAGAACGCTTTCTCTGGCGTCTTCGCTTACGGCGTTTCCGTGACCTCTCAGTGTCAGCCTTCTCTCCCCGTTTCTCCTTTACTGTTGACGACAGGGGTGGAAAGCTGTCAGCATCAGGAGATGATGTCACTGCTGGAAAGCTGTTTAAAGAGAAAAAACATAATTAGAAATGATTTAATTGCTATTTTTGTCCCCCAAAAGATTATGCAGATAAAGGATTTTCTTCTGTACGTTGTTTCTGATTCTGATGATGAGGACATTGTAGTTTATTGAGTTATTAAGATTTGCAAAATAATTAAAATCATCTACATATGTAGATGTGCCATTGCGTCTCCAGACCTGCCAACCAATGACAAAGGAAACTTTGGAGACTCGTGAAAAAAAATTAGGAGAATCTACAAAAGTAACTTGAGATTCTATTTTTTTCGCGATCAAGATTAAACGAGCCGTTTTTCCATTGGGGGAATTAAATGTGTATTTAATTATTACCCTGCTTTAGTGGGGTAGCACACGAGCGGTTAGGAAACCCAAATGGCACAACAGTTGACTGTCCTAACACATTAGCTGCATCAATATACAGTATGACTAAAAATTAGAAAGTTGCACATGTCATGTAAAAGTCATCGCACAGGCCAGGACATGACAAGATCCATGACAATATTCAAACCTAAGACCTAACAAACACACTAAGGAGGAAGTTCTACCCGCAGAGCTACAGAGACTCATGAACAGTCAGCCATAATTTACAAGACTTAGAATAAAAACCCTTTAACTTCCACAAGTGACCAACATCAATTTTCTCCAGGTTTTATCAACACATAATCAACAGAAAAGGTCATGAGAATTAATAACCTGATCACTAGGTGGAAACGCTTTGATCTTTTACTAAATTCTCTCAACTAATTCCTTCATGAAATCTATAGAGATCAGTCTGGAGAGTTTGTATGTGGATATTGGGGCTTTAAGAGTCGAATTTAAAACCTCACCTTGCAGTTCCACTTTCCTTTTTGCCACTAACAGGCTCTACAACGATGCTTTGTCCACCAAATACAATATGTTCATTGTTGCTGCGGATCACTGGCTCAGCCGATAGTTCCTTTTCTCCTGCATCAGTTGCAGATTTCCCTGTTTTTGCAGGAGCACTCTCTTGTTCACTTTCTTGTCCAATCTCCACACCAGAGTCTTCTAGTCCTGTTGTGACATTTTTAGCTGCTGAGTTATTATCAGCTGCACTTGATGCCCTGGTTTCTTCAGCTTACCAATGATAAAATAAACAAAAAAGAATACAGTCAAAATAGTGAACAATTATCCAGTACAAGGTTGGTACAAGGGAAACAACAAGAATAATATTGAGGCAAAACTAATAATCTACGCATGCATGTGCACACATTATTAAGTTTGCAAATCCTTTTTTGGATTTAAAGATGAAACCCATGAAATCCAGATTTGGATTTCTTACTTGAAATCCACCTTGAAAACATTATTGAAATCCACTTTGGGATTTTGAGATTTACTGCAAAATCCAGATTTCCCAATTGAATCCACTGTTCATTGACAAGTGCATGGTAATCTTAAGATCACATAAAAAATCCATACCCACCCCCCATGGATGATCATTGGAAATTCCGAAGGGGAGGGAGGGTTCATTTCCAAAGGGTGTTGAGCGAAGTCCCCGTTTCAAACCTCCTTGGGGGAGGGGGTCATGAAAGACCCCCTGGAATGGAAAATCCGGGGCATGGGGGTGCACATTAAAGAGTCTTCTGTGGGGGGTGGGGGGGTATGGATATTTTCTGGAAGTGCATATTTCAAATTCCATGGAAAACAATATTTCAGTTCTGTGTCCAAAGATCATGGGAAACCATCAGTAACAATTTTTTGGTTCCGTGAAAATCCATGGAAATCCACCTCCTACATGTTTTCAATTTTTTTAAGTCATATATTTTTTCTTGGCACTGGAAGCCATAAACCAGTAAAATGCTATGCACTTTAAGAAAGATTGAAGATGGCGGACAATAGAAAACTGATAGATACTAAAAAACGTTTTAGTTTTGTATATAAGCCAAGTCATAACTAAAGAATAGTGATCTACTAGTTAGGAAAATGAGTGGGAAAATAGTGAATTTCTGTTAATTTGTTGATCCCTAAGAGTGAAAATATCACTGGGAAAGCACTTTTCGGTTCTGTTATTTTAAGACCAAGGTAACAACACACTGGTACCAGAAACGACTGTTACTGTGAAATCCTAGGGCTTGCATTTCAAAGATCTAACAAACAGCTACAAAAAGACCTCTGGTTTAATGCTGTGGATATATTGGCAGGTGTGTGAGTCATGCTACCACCAAATAAATCTCCTGCTAATATTATGTTTAAATCATTTAACAACAAATGCATCAAAATAAATGAATTATTATGATTAAACCACAAAATGGAAACAAAATAGTCCAATAAACTATTGCAATTCTTGACTTCCCCACCTCGTGACTGTTCAAGATCACAGATCTTCTAACTACAGCCCCACCCACAAGCAATGAGAAATATAATTTATATACTGATACATCCACAATCCAAACTTAACTATTAACAACCTCATTAACATTTTCTTCATACAGCTGAAAATGCACAAATCTGCAACGTTGCCCTCCTAACGCAGTTAAAATATCAATCAAACTAATTCACTACTTCTCAATTGCTACGATGCGTTCGATCGAAACTGACAATTCTGCAAGCTTATTCACAGTAACAAAATTACAAAATTGCGTTTTATTACAGAAGGTACCAAACAAGCCTAATAAACTATATAAGTTCAGCTTAATAAAGCACGCACCTTGGAGAGCAGTGTCTGGTTCTTCACGGTCTGAATACTCAAAGTCGAACAGAAACTGCGTAAAAGCGATGAAACAAAAAATGAATTAAAACTCGAACTCCAAGATTCCTCTTACAAACTTGTGTAATAAATGAGAATCCAGTTGAAAAAAACGTTAAATGTACACCGACCTCGACCGCCGGAAAGCGTCCAATTTGACCAGATGAATTTTCAAAGTATTTCTCCCATTCTTCTGCGGTAAAATCTCCAAATGTTATGCCCTATTTTAAGTAAAGAGAAAATTAAAACACGAAAATTTCAGTCCAGGACACGTCGTCGATCGAGCAAGTTTCATTTTCACTCACGTTCTTACATGTAAAATTTATAGCGTGAAATTCGTTGATCGTATTTAATTTTACTCACTTCTTCTGGATTAGGCATTTCTTGAGCCCCAAAGGCAATCAATAAAATCTAACCAAAGACATCCATCGAGACAATTTCTCTCAAAATCCTCACAAGACTTTCGATCTTCCCTTCCACCCGAAGCCAAACCTCTCGTCCCAGAGCTTCGGGTTTTCTTATGGTCACGTGATGGGTTTTGATTCGGTGCGGGGTATACTGGGGACAAGATTGTCAAGGGCGGAAACGTTCTTTGCTTCATGTTCATGCAGGCTATAATGGCCTCTGGTTAAGAGAAGTCAAGTACGTATTAAGGACACTTTAAAAGTCCTTAATAGCGAGAATCCTCGACAATAACGCGAAATTATTTCCGTTTGTAACTTGGGCTGGGGATTTAGCTACTCCCCGTGCTAGCCGAGAGCTCAGAGTTTGCAATGCGAAAGGGTTTAATACCTAGACCGTCCTGTACTGGCTAAACTTGGGTGCTTCACCGTGTTTTGCGAGGGTTTGCCAGACACACATTTCTAGTATTACTATTACATACACGTTATTGGCCATGCTTGTTCGGCTGAGATGGCTGGATAGCGGCCAAGTTCTTTTATGCGTACAGTATTTATGGACCTAGACGAAGTCGAGGTCGATAAAAACACCAAGAAGAACCAGGTTCAAATCCAGTTATCTTGACCGAACAAGCTAGCTTGGTCAATAAGGAATTTATTCATGGACAAAAAGAGAACCTTTCTCGCGGGACCAACGCTTAAACATGTACTGATTTTTTGGACCTGAATAGCTCCCCACGTGAAAGCACATGCATACGTAATACTAACCACATTTCAAGAACAAATGACTGAATGCAAAATGGAAAATCATTCATTGGGAGCTAAAGCTATATCAATTCCATTTTTACAAAGTTATCTCAATTACATGAATGATTTAGTTCGATCGATTGTAAAGATCGTTCAGATCGCTGGAAGCTTTTCAACAATCGTGGTCATGATGGACTCCAAGCTTTAACTAAACGATGTCGAGCTAATCGCGACTTCCGGGCAAACAGTGGCACTGTTACTATCACTGTTCCACTGTGCCAGTCTTCCAAAATTCTTTACCATTAACTCAGCCACTGTATGTTGCACTGTTCCAACACACTTAACTAATACTGTTCCACTGTTCCCAACCTAACTTGACTACTACTGTGACATTGTGCCACTGTTGAACCTCACTTTACTATCACTGTGACTCCCTGCCACTGATTCACCACACTTTCATATCTTTGTGACACTGTCCCACTGTGCCACTCTTCCACCACACTTTACTATCACTGTGACACTGTGCCACTGTTCCACCTCACATCACTTTTTTCAAGGTGACACTGTCTAACTGTTCCACAACACTTTACTATCACGGTGTTACCCCTCCTTCCACCCAAGAGTTAGCGCTGCAAAGGTCAGCTTTTAGATTTTTTCTCATGGAGACTTAACAAATACTTACTCGCCACCGACGCCGCCACAGGTAGGGCCACCAGCAATAAACTTGCTTACTGTGTTTCAGTCCGCTAAAAAGTTAGTGCAAGTTATGGCCGGGAACGGAAAACGTTTATTCTCAGCTGAATTACTCGTTTAAGCCATGTCATTCAGCTTCTGATCAGTGCTGCATCAGTTTGTGACTTAATGAATTTTTGCTGACGGTGTGGATGAGCCGGGCATGATGCCTTTGTTCACGAGGACATAACCTGTACCTAAACAGACAAAAAAAATATGAATTGCGTGTGACCACAGAACGTTAACTCAATAACCAGCCTTTATATTTAATTTTTATTGGTCTTCCACCGGAAGAGTGGGTAGGGCCGAGCTTATTATCCGATCCGCACCCGTGCTGTACACCGGGGCACGCGTGAAAAAATGGAAACATTTTTAATTGGCTGTAAGTTTACATGTACTGCTCTTTTTGGTCAGCCTGCTTGATCGAAATGAAAAGGTTTTGCTAACTGATTAAGTGTGAATGATTCTGTAATTAGGTTTGCACCAGCATAGGCGAATGCATTTTGTCAAACATAAAGATTATCACATATTCCCGTAGCTTATAGATAATATTGATATTGACGCTACTACAAAAGAAAATGAAAAAAGTCATATCGCCACAACAATATCGTTTATTGTATGGCAGGTCATCCAATTTTGAATATTGCCGCTCGATCTGGAAACTTGCTACTTTTAGTTAATAATTTGACAAACAAAAAGAGGAACCAAACATAGATATTAAAAGCACTTTTAAAAATATTGTTCATGACTTAGGTAGGTTTAAGATGTCTTTCAGCTTTTGTGCTCAGTGTTAATTGTTGTTAGCGCAAAGTTAAAACCTCTGACAGCCACGATACGCGTCCATTCTTCTCTATACATTTTGCTGCTAAGGAAATTATTTATATGAATATATTTATTCATTAGATGGAGAGAGGGAAACTGACGACAGTAGCCTTTATTAGATTTATATTTGGTTTTATTTTCGCTCTATATATAAAGTTTTTCCAGATTATATATATTTTTATCAATATTGAATCACAACTTTCTCGTGACCATATCTTACCGCTAGAAGGCGAATTCGCAATTTTCAACCTTAAAAAATAGGTTGCACTTCACAATTCAAGAAAACCATTCCATATTAATTTGTCACAATGTCCACTGGTTACGATACACCAGATAAACTTAAAACTGTATTAGAAGCCTGCAAATTGCTTTCATTGTTTTCACCAACGTCCTGTTTCCATAAATAATTTTCTCTCCTTAATTTCAAAACAGTTTCGATAAAATGGCGACGCACAGTAATGGGATCGTATTCGTGGCGTCCGTGTGGGTTTTGACATCCATCTCGTGTACACCCACAAGGGAAACTATCTCGATCGACTTGACAATTTATTCCATTTAAATAACAGCTACAGGTCTCTGGTTGGCACTGTTCTTTACAGGAGCATCCGCAAATCTGTCGTGAGTATCTGATTTGCATACACTCAATAGCCTCTTGTTTATTGATTTTCTTTACGCCGGCCGCCTTCAAAATGTCCTTGCGATCTTTCTGTGGAATTGGCATGAAACAGTGTTCGTCGTCGCTGTCCACGCTGTCGTATGAACCGTCAGACTCGCTGCCACTCAGATCGTCGTCCGAAATAAGCGCCCTTTCGACAAAAGCGTGTTTATGTTTCATTCCAAGCGTCGTCCCTCCGTTCGAAGGCACACAGATATAGCCTTGGGTGCGGGGAAAATGGAATACAGTTCGCTCGCTGAAACGAACTCTTCGATTTCGCTTTGCTCGCCGATAATCCTCTACATTTCCTAAACTATCGGCGCTGTCAGAACTACCAGTACTTAGAGAATCTTCTTCATCGAGTTTTCTCTTCGACATCTTTTTCTCCTTTTTCTCTCCCGCGACACTTTTTGGCCTTGTCCGTCCACCCCGAGAAAAATTACCAAAACGATCGAATATTCGCAGTGAGTCCTGTTTTACATTCGAAATGACAGCTTACGAACAGGTGCAACTTCATGAGTAGCGCGGGAATTTTCATTGGACGGTGGATGTATTGTATTTAGCTGTGCCGTCAATGAATAGTAAGAAAGCTAGTTTCTTCTTATTTATTATTCATTGCTGATTGGATAAGCCAGCGAGGAACGCTCATCTATTGGCTGAAATATGAAAACAGTCTTTTTTACCGAGGGCATCGCTTGCCACGTCTGATAGTTTCATGCACGTGGCACGTAAAGGGTAAACACGGTAAAAGTCGCAGACATTTAGAGCGATGCTCTTCAACTTGTTCTTCAATTTTTCTGAACACATGGTTTTGAAAGAGGTAAACTCGAATCAGTGCAGTCTCCGTCAAAGCCCAGGAAACAGCTCGCAGCGGAAAATAGTCCTTATATTTTTGCCGGGGCAACGGTGACTGATTTTGCATTGTCTTAAAAGCACCTGCAAATGGCGAGAGCTAAATTACAATGCGGTCGTGGAACAATGGATGATGACATTATCAAAATTGTTACAAGCAGGGTAACGAATCTAAGAACCCGGAAGAAAGTCAGAGTTGATTAGCCATTTTACGTCCAGACTTGATAACTTTGAATAACACACTTTTTCTTATTTAACAACAACAACAACAACAACAACAGCAAAAAAACTGAAAATGAAGTGCGTATACACTAGTGGCTTATTTCTTCTCGTTTCCCTCACCCATGGCCAGTAGCCGATTATAATCAGTCAATGATCGGCTCCTGCGTTACCAGATCTCCCACGACCATGCAGGCGTGGGCTGTGAGTCGCATCTCGACAGCTGCGAATACGTCACTGGAAAAGTGAAGTCGCGTTGTTTCAAACTTTATCGCGTTCATTCCACCTCGTTCAATAAACCATTTTACAGTTTGTCGGCTCAGTATCCTAGCCTTTGAGTGAACATGAGGCTGAGGTTGATCTTGTTTTGATACAAAACTTTTTCTCTTTCTTATGGAGATTATTTTTAAAAAATGCTATTCAGCCCTATATATAACAACGACATTATTTACATATGCATAAGAAAGCAACAAGGGTTGTATCAAAACAAGCTTAACTCCAGCCTCGTTTTAATTTCCACCTGTTACAGTAAAATGGGCTACCGTAAAATTCCGAAAAGCCTCGGAGCTTGTATTTTTCAAAGGCCCTTTTTGAGGGGCTTTTATTCGGAGGGGCTTATCTACGGAGGGAGATTTGCGTTTCAAAATTGATTGGGCTAGCTTTTATATAGTTGGGAGTAAATTAACCGTTTTTGCTTTGTTTTACTTTATACACTCTTTTTTTTTTATAAGAACCTTTTTTATAAGAACGTTGAGGCTGAGATTGACCCAAATTTTAAGAACGTATTAAGAACATTCCTCAGGCTGAGAGTAGATTAAGAATGTTTTTATTTTTCTCACTGTACATTAAACGACAGGCAAAAAAATAAATGTACAAAAATGTAAATTGACCCAAATACTAAAGGGCTTGTTTTGTGTAACAGTAACAATGGTTTTCTTATTGCATAAGCAGTTCTT